TGGATTTCAGTTTAGCAGCCTTCACTAAAGGCTGCTTCTCCCATATAAGTTTTGTAAACAACTATCAGTATATGGATTTGCCCTTGGTATTCTTAGCAGTTTCTTCATTTGAGGAACTTAATGAAAAAAGAAATACTGTTCTTGGTTGTTCCACCTTAACAAGTGTCGGAGAGGGAGATTAAATTGCCCATTTCAGTGATACTGAGCAGTTGAAAACCAGGAGCCAGGCATGTGAAGGTTAATTTGCCGTAAAATGTTCTGGTGTGTATGAGGTATTATTTCTCTTTTGCAAAGATTTGGAGCAGAAAAGGTGTGTGTGTGGGGAATTGAAGCCTTTGACAGTTACAAATCACTGAGTTTTCTTCCTTGCTTCCATGATTCCTCAATGTCCTGGGCAGTGGGATTCCTTGGTTTCACTGTGATTGCCATAAAAAGCAGGTGAAGGTTGGGCTGTGGAGAAGCACCCAATGGAGTTGTGGAATTCAAAGTCACAGAATCCATCCGGTTGGAAGGGACCACAGTAGGTCATCAGGTCCAATCTCCCTGCTCAGAGCAGGGTTATCACAGAGCATGTGGCACAGGATTGCATCGAGGTAGTTCTTGAGTATCTCACAGGATCACAGAATATTTTGAGTTAAAAGAGACCCTCAAGGGTCATCAAGTTAAACTCTTAAGTGGACAGCCTGTACCGAGATCAAACTTTTGACCTTGGCCTTATTAGCACTATGCTCTAACCAACTGAGCTAATCTCGGGCTCCAGTGAGGGAGACCCTACAACCTCTCTGGGCAATCCTCCCAGTTCTCGGTCAGCTGCACAGTAAGGAAGTTCTTCCTCATGTTCAGGTGGAACTTCCTGTGCATCAGTTTCTGCCCGTGGCCTCCTGTCCAATTTTTTGGCACCACCGAGCAGAGCCTGGCTCCGTCCCCTTGGCACCCGCCCTTAGGTACCTGTATATCTTACATGGGTATGGACAGCTCGGACGTGAGCGGGTGGGGCGGCGGGCGCGGCCGGCCCGGCGGATTCACGCTACTCGTCCGGCTGATCCTACAGCCGTGGGCTTCCCCTGGCCGGGCCGGCCCGGGTACCGCTCCCCCCCCGCGGCGGCGGTGGCGGCGCTTGCGCGCGGGCGGGGCGCGGCGGGGCCGGTGACGCGCTGCGGTGCGGGCAGGTCCTGCCGCCGCGCGTGAGGACGGCGGGGGCGCAGCGCGGAGCCGCCGCCGCACGGCGCCCCCGCTTGAGCGCCGCGGGGTGAGTGAGGGGTTCCCCGCCTACCGCGAAGGTGAAGCCCCGCGGCCGGGCATCGTCCCCGGCAGCGCGGAGCGGGCCGCAACGGGGCGGGGCCGGCGCCGGAGCCGGGACTGGGGCGGGGCGGGGCGGGGCTCCTTCGTGCCGGCTCCCCGCGGCTGCGGGGCGCGTACCTGCCGGGGAGCGGCGGGTCAGCCTGGGCCGCGCGCTCCCACCCGCGGAGGTGGATGCGGGCCCTACGGTAGGAGCGGTGCCTGGTGTCCGGGCCCGGCGGGGTCGGGTCTGCCCGCAGCGCGGGGTGGAGCCGCACGGAGGCCGGCGCTGGCCGCGGGGCGAGCTGCTTCCTCCGCGCCGCGCCTACGGGGGGCACTGCCGGGCAGTCCTGCTGCTGCAAAGGCTGCAGGTGACCCCCGGCCTTTCCGGCCTCCGAACGCTGCGGCTCCGTGCCCCCTGTCCCGCTGGAGGGGTGACCCAGCGCGGGCATTGCATGGAAAACACGGCGGTTGGAATAACACTTGCCTCATGTACCGTGCGACTTGGCCTACCCAACGTCTGCCTAACTTAACGCTCCGTGTGTAGGGGTTTGTTATATTTTGGGTTTGGTTTTTCTTCCCCCTCTACCCCCTCCTTTTCCTGCCTCCTCTTGCAGTGATGGAAATCTGTCATATCACGTATTTTTCTCTAGGTGTCAGTTCAAATACTCGACAGAGAAGGTTTGAGAAATAGGTTGCATATCAGGGGGTGGTGTGGTGTATTTCTTCAGTGTAAACTGTTTTCAGGCACTGAGCTTTGTCAGATGTTTAGGAGTCCTGAGCTGGATGAACTATTATTACAGATACTTAGAGCAGTAGGCTTTCCTTAGTATCTACCGGCAGAGATTGAATTCATCTGTGTAACTGTATAGTGTAAAAACACTATGAAACTTCTGTATAGTCTTGTGATATGAATGTTGATTTTTGTGTATTTATTTTTCTGTCATGAGGGAATTAGCTTTCCAACGAATATTCACACAAATGTTGTTCCTTTAGAGAAATACATGTGTGCACTACCTTTGTAGGTTATATTTCTTGAAAATCTTCCTTGTTTTGCTTGTAGCTTTCAGTGTGTATTTTGTATTATGCTGGGTGACTGGATGTTGCTAGTGGGATAGCCCCACCTTCTGGTTAATCCTTCAGTGAAATCATACTTGAGACGGAAGAGTTTTTCTGGAAATTATATCTCATGCTATGTGTTGTAAGTGCAAGTCTGTGTTGGAATATTTTTTTATTTCTTGGGTGGAAGAGGGGCAAGACAATCTCTTTTTATGGAGATGTTCTTATTTACCATTAAAATAATTTTAACACATAGTTTCTGATGTTTCAGTTCACTACTGGGAATTTTTTTTTATGCCATCATAAATTAAGGGAAGTACTTTTTTTATTTTAAGCTTCAAAAAAAGTATTTTTATTTTTTTCAGAAAGCAAGGAAATGATACTAAACCAAGGAGTAGTCTTGGTGTGTGAAGTGACACCTGATCTATGTGTGAAATGATACCTGATCTCAGGCTTAACTTTCAGTTTAGGTGTTGGAGGTGACAGTGCTCATATTTTAGGTTTCGTGTTCAAGAAGTTCACAGATCGTCTTCCAACTACAAGCTTTTGAACTTGAAAAATATTCAGGTTTCTTGGTAGAAGATTTATATTGGTTAGTTTACTGCTGCTGGGAGCAAATTTACTGAAATTATGTGTTAGAAGCTACAATTAAAAGGGAAAAAATCAGGAGAAGGGCTCTCTGAAGTCCTCTTGGCTTACAGAAGGAGATTGCTATTTCACCTCATTTTTAGGTTTTAGTTTAGGAAAGGTGTTCAGCTTGTCACTCAACAGCTTGTCAGCAGTGTGTCTTATGATTAGAGACTTCACAGTCTTTAAAATTTATGATGATACTCTGCTAGACATAGCTGGGGATCACCTGTTTTTTGGCTCTCAGTGTGTTATTTGAAACATCTCCTTTAATTCCTGTTATCTGTGAGCTGTGTGCTCTTAGGATATTGCTCCTATGATACAAATTGCTAATGTCTGAAAGAACTGAATGCTGCTTGAGTCACCCTGACTCTGGAATATAACTGCAGTAATTGATATGTTGAAACTCCTTAAACAACATAGGCGGGAAGTCAATTTTCTTGGAGTGAGTGTGAGAGTGCTGAACAGGGCAGCTGCTTGTGTGAGTGCGTAGGAGGGATTTTTAATGGCAGTGTGTCTCTGGGTATGTTTTCAGGTCCTGCCACTCTCCACAGCTTAACTGTCCAATATCCTGTGCTATGCATCAAGAAGATTATGAACTGTCCAGTGTGTGGCCTGGATACATGGATGATTCAGCATTGTTTACATTTGAAAATACAGTTTTGTAACAGTTAAGCATAGAAAGACTGGAAGTAGTGGGGAGGAGGGGAGCACCCAAACATCCTTCCTCTTTTTTGCAACAACCGCAAAGGTGACAGTCCTAAAACATTCAATGCATTACAAGGCACATATACGTTTTCACTACAACTTCTGTACAACTTAAAATTTATGAGAAACAGAATGTCCAGGCTTTTGCATACTGGAGGTAGGCAATACTGTTTTAATTGCTCCAAGTATAATTCATAAGCAAAACGATCAAAATTAAGATTTTAAAAGTGAGAACAGTTGCTGAGAGTATTATGGGTTGTGGTGATTGTGTTTCTGTGCACTAATGAGGTTGAAGGGCTTGAAGGTATTTGAATAGATAAATCTGCAACATAGAACCATGGATTTGTTTTCTTTTCTTTTTTTTTTTCATCTAGATTAAAACCAGGATTGAGGGTTTGCTTTAACTCATCTAGAACTAGCAAGTTTAGATGTTTGGGTTGATTTTTTTACAGGCTGACCTTAACCATCGAGACAGTGTAAACCAAAGGAGCAGTCACTGGGTTAGGTGCTGGAAAGCACCTCTGACATTTCCCGCTGTATTAATGGAGCATTTCCAAGAGCTGGCTAAAGTTACAAGATTTCCAGTTCTTGTTCAGTTTCTGGTGTGGGGAAATGCTTAATTTCTGCTATGGTTGTCCTTTTCCTTCTGGCTATTTTTGTTGCTCCCTTCTCCCTCCCTGTGCCATTCACTTTCTACCTGATGAAAGGGTTATGCTAGTGGGGTAAGAAGTAGCTGACTTCTGCAGTATTTCTGTCAGCTTAAATCATGTCAGCTTTGAACGTGATCCCATGTGACCCTGGTGATAGCAAGTTTGTCATATCTTGAAGTAATCTTATGCTTGCAATGCCAGTAACTTTCTAGGAGCTTCTTTCCGGGCAAGAAATGAAGTACTGTTTTTTATTTTGCCTTTTCTTGGCCAATGCTTTTCTTTCTTTCTTTCATAATCATTACTGGGTATTTACAGCTTTTTTGGCTACATGTGTCAGGCCTTCTTTTTGCAGTTAAGTGGACTGGTGGTAATGGCTGCGTGACATAGTTGGCAAGCTGCTTCAGTCTTCTGTGAAGCTTTATGTATGTCGTTTTGAATGTCTGATTGTATGTTGCAGTTTACCTAGTCACGTCAAAAAGTCAGCAGTTTGCTATAATGCAGCAATGGGTGAGCTAATCAGCTGACTTTTTTGTTCCCTACTATAAATATTTATAGCAAACGGTACAAGGGAAAGGCATAGCTGATTTTCAGAAGTATTTTTTCTTTGACTGGTAAAGGTTGTTAGTCTTTTCATTTTGTTTTGGATTTAAAAATTAGACTCTCTTCGACCAAAAACTTCAGATTTTTTTTTTCTACTTAGAAGTGTTGGGTAGATTTAGTCATTAGATGAAGGACTACTTTCTACCCTTTCCACATAAAGTCTTGCAATTATATCTGGAGGAAAAGTATCTCTAGTTTTTCTACTATCTTGAACAAAATTCTTTTCATAGAAGAAATACTTCTAATGTACCTTTAGGGATATTATAATATTTTGATGGCAGTAAAAGTTTTTTGTATGGCTGCATGTTAAGGTATTAGGAAGCAATAACTGTTTAGTGTGTATTCAAAGCCATTCCATCCTACTTTAGAATTTAATTAAAGAAATAGCTGGTTCTGAAAATTGTCTCCCTCTGGACTATTGACTAGGACTTTAATTCCTATGAAACTTCCTATGAAAAGTAAGATTTGTCCTGGAGTAGGAAGTCTATGTTTTTGTTTTCCAGTTCTTGTAGAAGAAGGTTCAGGAACTGGGCTAGGAATAGTCAACTTCAGAAAACAAATTTTCACTACCACATCAGTTATAATTATTTATGTATATGGTTCTGTTTACTAGATTGTGGTTGAGTATGATGTAGTGTTTACCAACTTGAAACGTAGTTGTAAAGCTTGAAGGATTTCCCCAGGTTTTCAATCACTAGAGTTTTAAGTTGGTTTATAGGTAACCAAAACATGTATGTATTGTGCTGTGGATTAAGCTTTCAGGATTCAAAGCAGTTTGTATAAATAACTCTGGCATCCCCTATTAGCCTGTGAGATTTTTTTATCCAACGTTAGATCTTATGTTTTTATTAGGGAAATTTTTCGCATCTGATAACCTTGCTGGTTTGTATGACTTTAAAATAGAACTGCTTTCCCTGAAAAAAAGCACAAACAACCAGTTTTTTAAAAAGATACTTGTGGAAGTTGTCGCTTGGGATGCTGAACTGGAAAACAATATGTCATGCGTGAAAGAGTAAAAGATTAAATAGCCAGAGGCACTACTTAAGGTATAATTGCTAAGCCTTTTGCAAAGGGCCAGTCCTCCTTAAGGTACAGGAGGATGAGATGGTAGAGGCAGCACTACTGTATCAGTAGCAGTGGCCAGTTCTTACTGCTGTCAAAGGATGAGCATTCTGCTGTCCTGGTGAATGTTTTTTTGTATAATGTCAAGTAATATACTGCTGTTTTCCATATTGTGTGGGGTATTCATGTGGTTTTGCCACATTTAGAATGCTGTTTGTCACGGTGTTTTGCTCTCCACAAGCTTTTTGGATAGGTTGCTTTTGGTACTGAGACAGTGGCTGTTGCTGTTACATGTTGCTGCTTATTCTAAATTTTGAACACAGACCTTATTCCTGCAAGTGTAAATGTACTTAGGTAAATAGTTCCTGCAAATAATTTACTGCTATGTTTAAACATGTAAATCATAAGTAGTATTTTGGAATTAAGATAGCCTACAGAATGAAGAGTACAGAAGTCTTTTTAGATGGTTTTGTTTAAACAGACTCACAAGTACCTTGAAAAAGAATGTTTTTGACCTATGAACAGCTTCTGAGACTAGGGTATGTGAAATGAAAGGTCAGTTTGCTTCTGGTTTAATCTGCACTGGACTGGGGGAACCCCCTCACAGTAAAGAATTTCTTCCTCACATCTAACCTAAACAGTTTAAAGTTATTGCTTCTTGTCCTATCACTACATGCCCTTGTAAAAAGTCCCTTTCCAGCTCTTTTGGAGGCCCCCTCTAGGTACTGGAAAGCTACTATAAGGTCTCTCCAGAGCCTTTTCATCTTCAGGCTGAACAGTCCCAATTCGTGTAGCTTGTCTTCATAGGAGAGTTGTTCCATTACCCCAGTCATTTTTATTGCCCTGCTCTGGACTTACTTCAGGAAGTCCACATCCCAGTTATGTTGAGAGCCCCAGAACTTACATCAGTAAAATTTCCTCTGAATCCTGTTACAATGTCTGACCAGAATTATTACTGCCTTGAAGAGGCTGAGTGTCTGGGTGTCCATCAAATACAGGTATGTCAATATAGTGTTCAGGAAAATGGTGTCCTTACAAGTCCTCTGTAGTCTAACAGGCACTCACAGCAATGCCTAATAGTCATGTCCAAATATGAGGTCTGAATGAAATGGTACAAGTTCGTTTCTTTAGCCATTATTTTGAGCAAAAGAAAATTGCTTTGTGATAGTGCTTGCCATTTTGTGCAGTAGTTTTGTGGTTAGAATATTTATCCAAGAAGTAGGAGACTCTGTTCCATGCTATTCTGTTACGTTTTGGCAAATGTGAAAACTTTATATGAAAGGTAACTGTTGGAGGGGTTATACTCTTCCCTTTTGCATGAACCTTGCCAATATCAAAATTTCATAGCATTGAAAAGGTGGATCAGTGAGAAGGTGAGTCAGTGGCTCAGTGACACCGAATTGACCTTGGAGTGAGGCAATTATGTGCTTTTCTGAAGAGAAAGGAAGAGGTGAAAATTATATATAATTTCTTGCAGTCCATTTAATTTGTTGTACTGTTGGTAGCACTATTACAGTGAATGCAGCTTTCTGATTTGGAACTTCATGCATCTGGAGAAATTTCCCGTGAAGACGCTGCCTGTTTCCACTGTGTAGGTGAGAGGATTCACAGGCAATGTGAAAAGGCAGAGGGAGATTGCAGAGAATCGAGCATATACTAGCTTGGAATTTTAACTAGTCAACACTTCTTTCTTTCTTCTGCTCCCCTTCAACTTGAGGTGCTTTTATTCAGTTATTGTTGCTGTTCCTTTAAAAACAGAACTGATACTAGTTTTTCCTCTGCTCGACTATCACTCTCAGGCAAGTGGTATTAAATTTAAAATGTATGTTTAAATTGAGACTCGTTCACCTTGTGCCTTTACCTTTCTATCAATCCTTTATTCAAAATAACGATAATATTAAAAGTTTTAAATTAATAATTTTAAATTAGTAATTTTGCATTACTTGGTAAAATGTTAGAGAAACTTTTTTGCTTTAGTATGCATAAATGTTTCACCACAACTCTCTGGATTGCTACTGTGTGCATTTCTATCTCTTTTCATTTTTTCCATGCTCCTCCCTGGTGGTTGTTTTTTGGGGTTTTTGTTTTGGTTTGGTTTTTTTCAGAGGTTCTTGTACTTTTTCTTATCTGCTTGACTTTTCCCTTTGACCTGGAGTATTAATAAGCACTTTAGCACTTATTAAATACTTTGTGGTGAATTTAGACAAACAAATTAAGATCTTGCAGTTCAAGATAGTTCAGCTCAGTAGCTGGCTCGACTTGTACAGCAGTTCAGTACACTATAATATATAGACAGTCTTGGCACTGGCAGACCGTTTATCATCTGTATGACAGTGGGTCAACGCTGCAAGCAAAACAGACCTGGCTACTTGCATTCAAGACTCTAATATTTTCCCCCCAGTAAGACTTGCAACCTACAACCTGGTTCAGATAGTCCAGACTTTATAATTAATGAAATTTTGTGTATTGTGGTGGGCACAGCTATTGTCTTGTAACTATTTATTTTCTTTAAAGGATTTCGAGACACTTTACACTTGAAGGGTACTTGGAGAAACCTAGTTAACTTGAGTCAAGCTGGAATTCTGGTGAAAAGCTAAGCATTTGCTTCCTGGCTGCTGGGAAAAGATTCTGCTTTCAGGTAAGTCTGGAAATAAGCTTGCTTCATACTTCATCTTCTTTAGGCTTTTAGCAATTGCGGCATGGAACTTACCAGTAATAAAAATCTGATTACTTTAGGTGCTGAACAACAAAGATTTTTGAGAGGTATTACACATTTCTTTGGGGAGAAGGGGATGGGGGGCAGCTCTGTGTGTGTAGTTGGCTGAATTTATTGCCTGCATTTCCCAAAAGAAAAGTGCTCTGTCATATTCATTCTCAGCACCCATATCTTTGAACATCCATTTTCCCCTTTGCTCTGTCTTCTGTCTTTAAACTAACAACTGTGCTCTTGGAGGATACTATTTTTTATCACAGTGGGAGTATTTGTCATTCATAGTAGATCTCAAATGGGTACTGAGGTTCAGTTAATGGTCTTGTAGACTGCAACCTTGGAGGCACCATTTGAGGAAGTGTTGTGCCCTGAGGACACTACGTCCTTAAATGGATAGGAAAATTGAGTTCTTAGCATGATATGGTTTCTGTCCAGGAAATATATTCAGGTCTTGCTTAAATAAGAACACCAAATAGTCCATGTTTCTCACTGTACCTCTAGACTTAATTACTCTATAGATACATGAAATGGTAGAAATAAGTTGTGGCATCTTATAACATTGTCAAGTAGGTTTAAAAAAGTGTATTTACTGGCTTCAGCAAAAACTTTACTTGATAAAATTCCATCATGGACAGGAAAATAATGTCTATTAAATGACTTACACAAATTTCTGTTCTATTATAATCAGATTTTCTGAGCTTTGGTAAGACTGAATTATAATGCAGAATCATACTCCATACTTACAATGCAATAATTTATTTTAAAAGCTGGATCAAATAGTTTGAAGAGAGAAGAGCTTGTGACAGTGTGGAGAAATGCAATTAATGTGAATTAACTTCTTTAGCATTTCTAGTGTAGAGACATTCAGTATGGTGGTAGCATTTCATCATTGAAGATCAAAAGATGTTGACAATATGTAGTTGTTTAATATCTTCCAGGTTATCAGAAATGGCAATTTGAAGAATCATCTTTCGATATGAACAAAGTAAAAACATCATCTGAAAAAAGGTAAATTTGCAAAAACTATAGTGACCTCTCAACATGAAGCTATTTGAGATCTGTGAAAAAACAGTCTTTATCTTAATAATAAGATAAATAAAATATATGAAGCTGAGACTAGCGTTGGAGAAACTTCCATTATTATGGGTCCATGGTAAGACTGTTTAGGTTGATGTCCTGAAACACTGAAGAAATCAATATTGGTAGCATGAAGTAGCTTAATTAATAAATAACTTGCAAAATTTAAATTTTCAGTTACTGTTAGATATGTTCAAATATAAAGTATACATTAAATTTAATTGAAAAATATATTAATAATTTCACTGCACATATTGGCAAAGCATAAAATGATCTCTGCGGAAGGAATTAAAGAACAAGTTTATAATACTGTGTAAGAAGCCATGATTTTGTCATAAGATGTGTGTCATTCTGCAACAATCCTGCAATCCAACACATAGCTAGAACAAACAAGAGTGGGATTGTAGAAGATGTTGAGTTGAAAAGTTGTGTTTATTACATGTTAACTTGTTTTAGCAAGCATTTGAAAAGTTTATGAGATTGCTTAGCAGCCTTCCAGAAACATCAGGAAACTATTGAAAGGCTTTCAGTCTTTTTCTTAAGGTAGCATAGGTTATACCATCTTGTTAAGTCAAACGATCTAATCAGATTAAAGAAATATGTACAGGCAGCAAAATACGGAATTTTGGCTTCAGTCTTAGTTCTCTGAAGTACTCATTATTTTCTAAGTGAGTGGGTGAATTTGCATGAAGAATCTGCTCTACTGTGCATTAGTTTTGTGTCTTGGAATCTATTTAAAATTTGAATTTAAATTCTTGTGTGTAGTATCATCTTTGCTGTTGCTGACTAGAAGTAGAATGGCTCAATATCAGAGACTGGTTGTTCCTATTTGTGTGAGGGGTGGGTCAAAAGAAATAGTAAGGAAACAATTATGTTTTCTCCTTATAGTATATTAGCTCCTTAGGCATTATGATAAGGAAAGCAAACTCTCTGTTAGCAATGAGTATTCATGAAAACACTACAAATTATAATACATGAAATATACTATCACGAAGAATATTAGGTTTTTGCAGAGTGGCCACTTAAGTGCCATTTATTCTTCTTTAGTTATAGAGATAAAATAAACGTTTTATCTCTGCAATTCAAAACAGTTGTTCCCTAAATCTTCAATAAGATATGGTGACTCTGTTTACAGAGATAGCTCTGAACTAATAAGAAGTATTAGCTCTCTAAAGATTATTTGGTAACTGTGGAAATGGTTGAGGAAAAAAAATAGTTTGAATTTATTTGCATTGGAATAAAATCAGAAAAAACTCATGAAAAGCCTGCCTATTTTAAAATAGGTTTTTAAAGGCTCACTGGAACATACCAAAATACAGAAGACCTGTTTACTGTGGGGGAAGAAGAAACTCCCTTATGCATCATTGTGCTGGCTGACTGCATACAGCAGTTTCAGAGGAAGTAGGTACAGTTGGGAAAGTGGTTACATCCTTCATTTGACTATTATATTTTGTAAGGCTTCTTGCAAGATGAATAGCTGAAAACCATGCTAAGATAAGGGAATTTTTATAAGCTGCCTTGGCAGCCATTAGAGTTATCTTTCTCATTGTGAGTAGACAACAGAAAACTATGATGATGTGTTCTAGCATTTGCATAATGAAAGTGGCATACAGTGAGTAATGGAGAGTTGTGAGTCTAGCACTTCTTCATAATCAGAGTTAGAATGCTTAAACCTTTTGGGAATGGAAGAAATGTCCCTGCAGTGAGGGATCTTTCTCTGAGAAAATGTTTTCTTGTTGAGGGAATTCCTTTTCAAATGTGAGCCCCTGAAGTCCTCTGTTCTCACTGTTTGGGCATGCATCCTCTGTATCTACTTGTAGCTTTCCTAACCAGAGAAGGAGGAAATCCACAAAGCTGTCTGGCTACCTCGAGTAATGCTGTAAGCTTTGGCAGCAGTTGAAATGATGGCAAGGGTGTTCAGTGCTTCACTTCTGCAAGCTAAGTGGTGGTGTGAGGGGCATTTTGAGCTGCAGCATTTGAATGTGGGATGAAGAAAGAGTTTCCTGCCTATGGAGCCACGAACTGTACAGGATCAAATAAAACTGGTAAACTTTTACCTCAAGACACTTAAAGAAAGTCTAAATCCATCCCAGAAGAATAATTATTGGTTGTTTCTGGACAGAATAAAGCACTGACTGGCTACTAGACTAGTGGTGGTTGATGGCTGTCAGAAGGAAACGGTGCACAGTTTATTTCTGCATGTGTTCTTTCTTTCTCTTTCTGCTTACAGCTAATGATTGGAAATATTCTGGGTTTTGACTAATGATCCGTAACAGAAGGAAATTCTTGTTAAAATTGCAGACACCTTGAAGCTGGAAAGATCTGTAAAACTACTGCAGGACCAAATAATTTCAAAATACTCTCGTGAAATGCAGAAAATGGTTAAGAATATTTGATGGAAATATGTGCAAGATACTGTGCTTAGAGAGGTATATGACTGGAACAGGTAAAGGACAGTCACATTGGTAGTAAGAAGTGCCAGAAATATTAAGATTAAACTTCAGGGAGAAAAACTTTCAAATGAAGGGATACAAAGCGTTAGAATGAAATTGCCTTTGGTTATTCAATCATCATTTTTGTAGGTCGTTAAGGACTGGTTTGGCATATGTATGCCATGAAGAGCAGCTGTGGTCTTTATCAAACTCTGAAGAGAATAGTTTTTATGGTGTTATAAAGTTTCTTCTGGTGCTTCTTAGTCAGAATTTTTTAATAACTAAAGATTATAGAGACTGTATGTAACTCGGTGATTACAGAGTGCTCTTGTGAGAAGGATTTAGAATGAGTGAGGTGAAAAATGCGACTTCTAATAACAAAAAGGGTTATTCATATTGTGGGAAAACTGGTTTCATCTTGTCTCCCTGCCCTCCTCATCAGTGACAAACTCAGGCACTCATGGCAGCTGGAGACCTGGATAGCCTGCATGTTGGTGTGTGAGATCTGTTTGGGTCATCACATTCCTTCTGACAGTGGCTTTTGACTGAGCTGGAATCCTAGTTAGTGCTCTTCTAGTTTGATGGTTGATGACTCCAGTGTATATTGGATACTCCAATCAGAATTCTTGTGACTGGTCTACACTGCCTGCATACTAATTTGACCCCAGGTTTCCCATGGCAGAGTCTCAGATATCTCGTTCCCCAAAGCAATTTATTCATGCTGTAGCAGCACAGAAACAGCTCAAGCAGGTGCCTCCAAGGAGGGACCTTGAGCAAAGGAACCCCTGGGCTTTTATACCCTCACAATCTAAGCACAGGAAGGTCTTGGCTCTTCCTCCTGAGTCTTTGGCTCCTGCTGCGTCTGTCATTGTCAGGTCACCATGAAAGTCAGGACACAGTTTTCAGAGTATTTGTGTGAGGTTCTGCAATGTCAGCAGCTTGAGAAAAAACACAGCTCTGATAAGACAGTTTTTATTGTGCCATTCTGGTTTTTTGCTGTTAAAAATATTGGATTCCATGATGCCTCTCTGTTTTGGAGAACTGTCTTCTAGATTTGGATCCTGAATGGTTTGTTGATTCAAACATATGTATTTGCATTACAGATATGAGAAAGAGTCTCATTACAAATTAGGCTTTCATTTTGTTCTTAGGTCAAATGGGTTGTCACAGCAGTACTACTGATTCTACTCCTGTATGTCTGGCTGGCTGCCATAATTCCTGTCCTACAGTCTTTTTAATTTACTGTGCAGACATTGAAAACTGTCACAGTTTTACAACCACTGTGTATATTAGTGTAGAATATTAATAAATAAGAGTACAAATCTTAGTTTAAGATGAAAACTCAGTCATAACTAAGAGGATATCAAGACTTTAATGTATATTTCAGTGTTAGCTGATGCCAGTTTCAAGTATGCTTGATTGGGTATGGTGAAGACATGAAGTTTATTTGGCTATATTTATATTGGAAGACTTCGTGCAGGACAAATAGCCGAAAACCCTTCTGAAGATATCTCTGCAGCAATAAGTGCTTATTGCTCTTGATAGAAGCTCTGTCCCTAGGCAGAGATTGTAATTCTAAATCTTAAAACTTAAATTGTTATACCATCCAGTAATGAGAATGACTTACCCTACCTAAACCTCTTAAAGCTTTTAGTAAGTATGGAGAAACTATGTTAGATGCCAACTTCCTGTACATGGTAAATTGCTTACAGGCACCAGTGTTGCTTGAATTTTGCAGGCTGTAGCGGTCAAAAATGAGGTTTGCTTTGACATTCTAATGCCTACATGTGAGTTTTATCTTTGCAAAAGCTTTTTTTCCCCATTTTTAAAAAAATCTTTATTACTTCTAAGGATCAACTTTGCTTTCTTGGCTTTTTTCAGCTTTCAAACTACGTTTATTTCATGGTAAGACTAGGGATATACCACAATGGAAATTATACATATACACACACATATGGAAGTTGAAACAGCAGTTCTCATACACACTGGCTTATGTGTTGTTTGGCGGGACTCTTGCTTGTTTTGACTGTGGAGCTGGTGAAGATAACACCTTGTGTAAGTTTGTCAGTTTGTATACTAGATCAACAGAGCTTAAGGATTTCATTAAAATCTTGGGTTAATTTTGGAGCATTTCAAATGGATAAACGGAGGAGGAGAAATACACAAAAAACGGTTACGCAAATAAAAATACCTTTATACTAAGCCTGCTTTTGGACGATGAGAAAGTATTGGAGTGATTATGCTTTACTTAAACAAGGAAATTAGTGTTTCAGCACCCGAGACAGATTTATTTTAGATTAAAGAAATATTCTGAAATCAAAGTCTAGCAAATAACTGAGAAGGTGATATGCTTACTTCACAATATAAAATGGCTTTGATTTAAGTCTATAGTTAATATAACCATTTCTTATTCCTGTTGTTAGCAGCTTGTAAGTATCATCTGTAGTCTGAAATAGATTTTGGCTATGTTTCTCATTTAGATGTCAATATGGAAAAGTGAAAGTGGTAAAAGGAGTTTCCTCAGCAGCTCTTAATATCAATTTGCTTTCTCGGCAGTATAATCCTTGGCCTTGGCTACCTTACTCCCTTGATTTTAACATTTTAGTAGAGTTAACTGTAAGTGTGAAACCTTTACACCGATGTAAAATACAAATCAAGGAGTAATAATTCCTCATTGTTTTAAACAAAACTGACAGAATTTATAAAGCAATGTTGTAGACTTCAGTTTTATTGTAGGGAGTCAGAACGATGTCAGTGTAAAATGAATTATTTTTGGTTATTGTGGGACCCTAATGTTACAGAAGTGAAAAGTCAATTTAGTTAATTCTTGGAAGTCATAATTTCCTGTAGTTAACTGCATGACTGTAATTAAAATGTCAAACATTTGTCTAAAGATTACTTTCATGTAGGAATGTGAATCTCTAAACTATTCTGAATAATTGTTATGATGTTAAACTAGAGAGCAAATAAACAGTTTCTAGGCTGACTCTGTTTAGAATACTATAAATATTTACAGTAATTCTTTCTTTGTAATTACCTGCCTATATGAATGACTGGTTTGAAATTGTGTCTTCTATTAAAATACATTTTCAAGGCAATTTTTTTGTTGGCAGGCCACAATACCCTTGTGTTCAAAATGAATCCAAACCCTGATGATAACTTTGGAAATGTTCCAAAGCTTTCTCGTTCAAAATGGTGTTCTTTTTCTTCAGCTGGTGGGTGCTAGTTTGCTCATTTAATGAATGACAGTCTTTTCTCCCACTTCAAAATGCCAGCCTGTGAGACAGTCTTTGGGATTGTTTGTAGCCAGTTTTTCCTTGAGTGGCAGGTTTGATACAGTATCCTGTCACTTAATGCGAATTATTAAATATAAGTTACTCTAAGTGACATAGATAAACAACATCTGTACTTTATCTGCATTTTATTTGGTGCAACTGATTTCTCTGTTCACAGTTGCTCTTGGAGATGCTGTTACATATAATTAGTCTGTCGCAATTCAGGCTTTGCAAAATCTGTAAATTTGCCAGAATTGAGGAGGATTAAGACTGTTTTACAGTCAAGATAAAATATGAAGGTGAATTAGCCACTGCCATTACTCTGAGATGGAGTTTCTGTTGTTAGTGGTTTTCTTTCTCTGATCTAGACAAAAAAAAATGTAAAAAATCCTTCTTGTAGCGTTTCTGCCAATTCTCGGACTATGTCCCTGCTGTCACAGTTGGAGAAGATCAATTTGGACTCTGTATTAGGAGAATCAGACAATGCCAGATATGTTACCTCTAAGATCCTTCATCTGGTTCAGAGTCAAGGTAATTATCTAAGTTTTATAGTTTTAGTAGTTTCCCTTTTGAGCCTTCCTTATTGTGTATCTTCCTTGCTGGACTTGAATTTTTGTTTTTGTTTAGTGAACTTGACTGTCCATCTGGTTTTTTCGCCGTTGACAGCATCTGTTTAAGTCCACGTTTAATGCTATCTGGTATAGTGTTGGTTACTCTAAGTTAATTTTTTATTGTCAAACAGCTGTAATTTAAGTAATAATTCACTTGATATATGTATGTGCGTATATATGTATATCTATGAGAAGTAGAAGTTTCTGGAAGAGAGCTTTCTTACTGATTTTTTTCCTTTACAGTCTTTTTTTTCTAGGACATGACAAGATTGTTCAACAAGTGAAAACAAAAATGAGTTTTAGAATTGCTTAAGGTTTTTATTTAGTTTTATATAGTTTTTAATAGGTTTTATCATTTACAGTGTAGATATTCTGATCATTCTGATCACATATTTTATTTCTGCAAGCTAGTATTAGTCTTTTTCTCACTGACAGAAAAAACCAGGAAGGAGATGACTTCTAAGGGCTCCACTGGAATAGAAGTTATCCTGGCAACCCTAGAGGTAAAATCTTTTAATCTCTGTGGTTATGCACAGTGAGTTTTGCATTTTATCATATTACGAAATATGTTGTGTTATCCTTTGGAGTCTCCAAAACTTGTGGTGTTGGTCTGTAATGATTAGATACTGTCTTTAAGTAACCTACTTATGAATTTCTTGTCACCTATCGGTTCTAATTGTTGTGTCATACTACAAAGTAGATTTTATTTGCTTCTGTGGTTAATTCAAGTGCGTAGTGGGATGTTTAGCTGGGTGGTTATACGTCCTAAGTTCTACTTGATTTGGTGGTGGCAATTTCTCCTAGCTTTAAGTATCTAAACCATTGTAATAGACTGCTACGTTAGGCAAACATCGCTGTCTTTTTTGTTGCAGAATACAAAAGATCCTCAAACTATTCTAAATATATTGAATATTCTCATTGAGGTAATCTCAGTTGGTAAGTTTTCCTTAAGGAGTCATATATGATTATATTTGTACATTATTCTTCAGGCATTTTTTTGTTTGTTTTGGTTGGTTATTTTTTATTGGGTTTGGGTTTTTTGTGAGACTTTTTATTATTATTGTTTTGGTTTTCTGTTTGTTGGCATTTGCTAAGGCAGACTGATATGCAGAATTAAAAGAACGTAAAGACTGAAGTCACCTTGCAAATAATCCTACACAAATAATAAGTTTAAGTCCAGCATGTTCTTGCATAGTGCAGTCACATATGAATAAAATATTAAAATATTGCTGTTCTAAAGACTTATGATAACTGTAGCTTAGATATTTCATTGTTCTTTGGCTTTAGAGATATCAACTCAATTTTAATTTCTAGGTGGCGGTCGGAGAGCAAGTGTCTTAGTTACCAAAGGAGGGACACAGATCTTACTACAGCTGCTTTTGACTGCCAGCAAAGACTCTCCACCAAATGAAGAATTAATGGTGCTTCTTCATACTCTTCTTGCAAAAATTGGTCCAAAAGGTGATATTATGGCATAATACATTGAAGTTTTGTAATTGAAACTTAAAAAAAAATTTCTTCCTATTGTGTAAGCATCTATGTATTCAGAATTGATAGAGGAGAGCAAAAGGACGAGTGAGATGGGGGGGGAAGAGTGGTGCAAAGTAGATACGCAGAACTGACATCTACTTCTATGGCTAGAGGAAATTCAGCCATTTAACTTCTATTTTTTAATAATAATTTCAAAATTAGTGTGATTGATCTTGTATTTCTTTGACATCAGACAAAAAGATTGGCATGAAAGCAAGAATAAATGGTGTCCTAAACATACCGTTGAATTTAGTGAAGCAGAATTTGCAGAACCACAGGCTAATATTGCCATGTCTTCAAGTATTAAGAGTTTACTCAACCAACTGTAAGTATTGCAAATAATTATTTTATTCTCTGTGTAATATAAAGTTTTTTACCTAGATAAGCTTTAAATACCAGATTTGGATGCTTGTTTAATATTAAAGTGTTTAAAATACTTTCTTTCTGAGAACTTGCTTTTTATATCCTAAAATTGCTTAAACTCTGGAAGAAGCTGGGTTTTTTTTAACCAATCTTATGGAATGTGTGGAATTTTGAGCTATCTAATTTGCATAAATGCTGATGTGTGAAGATGTAAACCGGAAATGCTAACATTGTGATTGCGAAAGCACTTAGAATTAAATAATTATTCTCTTTATTATTCATGCTCATTTTTTTTTATTTTTGTTTCATTATTTTATCTCTTTATTGCTAATTTAACACTTGGTTCACACAGGAAATATTATATTTCTTAATTTAACCTTTTCCTTAATCCTTGTGTACAAGTGCTCTACTGTTGGGGTAATATTCTTCCACAAGAGCCTAATTGTTCAGACAGGCAGTAGGAAGTTGATCAAAATAGTGTGGTTCTTGCTGTATTTCTGCTGTTGGTTAGATGCTCTTAAGTTTTTCATTTGAGCTCAAAATGGTCATTAAACATCTTAAATAAGTGCAAGAAATTGAAAACATAGCCATGTTTGCCCCAGAGTACTGATTTGATGATCTGTGAGATTATGTTTTCAGGACATTGTCATGAGCAGATATAATTCATAAAGCCTTAATACTTTCAAAATGTGGAAGCTTTATTTCTGTTGAGCTGACTGATAATGAGGTAAAGTGCTTCCAAATTGAGGAGCCTAATACAGATGGTTACATTAGTTAACATTGCTTAGCTGAAAACTTGCTTCATCCTGAAAATGGCATATTGAACTGAGTCTCCAATTTGGCTTCTGCTAAGATCAGTTCTGTCTTTCTGTATTTCCCACTCCTTAGAAACAGAAAAAGTAGTAGTTCATAACATTCTGGTGCGTAGAACTGTTTAAAGTTTGAGTACAGTTACTGTTAGAATAAGTCCTAACTTTTCTTAGGTTCTGGTGTAATGTTTCTGCTAATGATGATGAAATTGCAACTGAGGTTCACATACTAAAGTCTACACTAATAACACTAATAACAGCATTTGTTATGTTGAAGTCCTGGCTGCTGTTTTCCTGCTTTGTCATGAGCAGGACATATTGCTAAACTCAGTCAGGAACTGAATTTCTGTGCCTGTTTCAGCAGTTTCTATTTTCAGTGGCTGTTGGACTTTGGCCAGGTATACTTTCAGTGCATATTTCTTGAACTTAATAAGTCTTAGCATAATTTCTTTTCATTTTCTCCCTTTCAGATGGGTTAATTTTATACCTTTTTTTTCTGAGAACATATGTTCATAACATGTAGTTCAGGAAAGCTTATACCAATTGGCATTTTTAAATTTTATAGCAGACTCTTGGCTTTCAAACCCTGGTGAATGTACCTGTCTATCCTAATACTAAATTATAGTAGCAAGTCATAGAACTTATTAGACTTGAAATTTTAGAAAGCCTGTTGTTTTGATAAACTGAATTAAGAAAATTCTTTTTTTAATGCATTTTAATAACAAAGAAAGCAGAAGCCTGTGTTGGAAGTAGTACATGATTTTATTTGTATAGTAGTAATTACGTTTTTTTTCTTTTCCAAGTTCTATCAAGATTGGATTGTCATGCTGATTATGTGTAGTGTGTCTGCCTGTCGTTGTATGTCTTAAAGCACAAGCATTTTTTGTACTTCAAAATTAACTTGTGTCAATTTTAGTTTGAGTATACTGATTTTTTTTCTTTTGCCGTTCTTATTACATTATCTTAAAATGGATTGCTTTTAACTCTTCCAGCTGTAAATGCAGTATCTTTGGGAAAGAATGGAGTAGTAGAACTGATGTTTAAGATCATTGGCCCTTTTAGTAAAAAGAACACTAGCCTTATGAAGTAAGTAAGGTCTCTTTAATATAGTGTATGGTAAAACCTTGTATATGTTTCAAAAATTACTTGTAAATTAAAAATAATAATAGAGAAATCAAACAATTAATATTTGAATAATAAATATTAATAAAGTGAAAGGAGATGGGAAGTTTAATTTTACCCAGTAGAGTAACACAAAATATTGGAATGTCTGTTTGAAGTACTGGTAAAATAATATAAGTATTATGTTTCTGTCTCTAATATTCCTGAATGGAAACTGTACAATAATTATCCCCAAATCACGACAAACAGATCAAGACAGTCCCATCGTTTTTCAATTTGTTTAATTGGCTTCTGCATCAGCTTTGTGCTTTTGGTGTGACACTATCCCTTTTATTTGGTAATAAAATTTTCTTTCTGTTTTATTTCAAATCAGTTATAGACTCGCAGAGCAAGAACATAAAATATAGAGTAGGAAGTCCCAGCAATATTTGTCTAGTGGGCCATTGTGCTGTTGTGTTTAAAAAAACATAAAATTCACTGTGTAACTGAAAGTGATGACTTTAGATTCCCAGCCCCATGGTGGTAGATAGGTTTTATGGGTATTTTTGATTGTTTGGGGTTTTTTTCGGGGTTTGTTTTGGTTTTTTTCGGTGAATTTACGGTAAAAATTAGCTAAGTGGATCTAACTGAAGATAGCCTTTCTTTATACACTCCACCTTTTTGAAGTACCTACCTGTGGCAGACTAGGAAAAAAAAGCCCTGCTCCTTTAAGCCCCAGCCTAAAATTAGACATAGGAACTTACTATTCTATGATGTGAGTAATCATGATATCTGTGTTTATGATGTAAGATCATATACATGAAGTCTGTCTTCACAAAGAGGAGAAAAATAAGTCTATATGTTTTCTAGTTGTACATTTGAGTTAATTGAAAAAATTTCTTTGTGTACAAGAAAACTCTCACACCGACCATCATGTATGGTAGTACAGATTGACGGGTGTTGCTTCTCAATATATTAATACACCACCAGTACTGACCTACAGTTCTTGAAAATGTCCTTTGTGGAAATACTTGTTCTGTTGCTAACAAAAACATGAATTTCAGAACTGTCACAACCACTGAGTGTTGGTCATAAACATTACATAGTCACGGTGTTTTTGCAAAAACTGGAAGTTTGGATAACCATTGCATTGATATTTTTTAAGTTTTACCATCAGACTTCAGATACAGCAGATTTATGTGATCTCTTAGTAAAATCAAATCTTAAAAGTGAAGTCTGTGATACAATGCAACCAGGAAAAGATGAGGCTAGACTTTATATGTCTGTTAGCAGTAGATATCTTGTCTAGTTTTATAGTATTGTAGATTAAGCTTACTGGTTGGTTGCTGTTTTGACTTTTCTTGTTATATTGACAGGGTTGCTTTAGACACACTTGCTGCATTGCTAAAATCAAGTAAGTGTTTGACTACAAGAAACTGTTTGTCTACTTGAGCTATATATATGTGTGTGTGTACAGACAGAGTAAAAGTAACATTAAGTCTGTGGCCTAAACAAAATCAAGGTGAGGAAAGCTAGAAATAAGGTACAGTTTTATCTGCAGTCTGTGGTGCTTTATTTATGTTGTATATAGCTATATGTTTAATAATTGGTTAGTGTTTCTTCAGTTATGCAGCAGAAGGGCTTCACTGCTTCTGCAGAACTGATCTGGATCTGAAGTAGAGGAATAGCCTTTTACATTCACACATCTCAGCCCTTCAGTAATAGATGTCTATAACTTAACTCCTGTGCATCTTTTATATATATATATATATATATATGAAAATATCTGTGGATGACGGGGGAAAATGTAGGTATTCTTCAGTAATTCTTCTGAGTAATTAGGACTTGGGTCCTAATGACAAGTCTGTCAGTGATGCTCACAAAGTGGAATTAAGGGTAACAAAACAATAGTCTGTTTCCAGGCATGGGCTGTCTCATCCAGCAGCAAGCAACAAATGTTGTCTCTGCAGATGTTGAACCAGGATTGTAGCTAGAAGGGAATTAAAAACTCATTTTCTCCAAACAGTTGTGTTAAAGCTGCAGCATTCCTAGTACTTCCAGTGGAGTTGGATAAGAACTGAGGTGTGACTAGATTTGCAGAAAACCATTTCAGACAAATGACAGGAAATTTTGGTACTGATTGTCACAGTTTACTCATGTTTGTTCAGTGTGATACCTTGGTCTTCTGATTTGTGTATTTAAAAATTTTGCAAATTCCCCTAGGGAAATTTAGGGAAGGAAATGATTCTATATCATTGTCAGTGTTCTATTCTGTAAATTGGCAGTTAAATTTTAATATTGGGGAGAGAAATGAAGTGTTGAAAAGGTCTTTAAAGCGGGAGATCTTGTGCATTTATTTAGGGATGTCTTCTCCTTAGGGGTTTTGACATTGTAACTTCTTACACTTTATGTAAGTAAATCTCTTCATAAAAACACTAATCTATGATGTGTATAGTGCAATTGTCATACTGATTATCCAGTATTTGGGGTTGAGGTATTATAAGTTTATCAAATTTGAGTGATAGTTGCTGCAAAACTGTATGGATTGCAAGTGAAAAGAAGTTTGTTTCAAATATTTTGTCTACAAAGTGTGTGTGGATAGACATAGATATGCTTTGTAGAATTTTTATTTTTTTAAATTTGCGGATGACATCGTCTTACCATTACCTTTAAGTGTAATGCACACTGTTCTTCTGGTAAACCACGAAAATTACATGTGGTATTATTCTAAGAATGACGTTTAGACTACTGGTCTCAATTGTTCAGTCATTTCTGTTTAGGTTGATGTAAAGCTCTGCTAAGTGTGGCTAAAACACTACTAAAAATGAAACAACTCTCTTGCGTAAAAAGAGTAACTTAAACATTGATTTGAAAGTAATACTGAAGTCATTTGGTCAATTTTTAATTTTCTTTCCTAACTTTTTTTGCAAAGAAACAAATGCCAGGAGAGCAGTAGACAGAGGATATGTGCAAGTGCTTTTAACTATTTATGTTGATTGGCACCGTCATGATAGTCGTCACAGATACATGCTGATACGTAAAGGAGTTTTGCAGTGCATTAAAAGTGTTACAAACATCAAACTGGGAAGAAAAGCATTCATTGATGCCAATGGGATGAAAATTCTTTACAACACTTCACAAGTAAGTTTATCGTGTTTGGTTTTTCTTATGTTGGTGTTTTTGCCTCTTTAGCTTTAAAAAGATCCTGACCTCAAGTTCGTCATATTTCTTTTATGAGATTCGTGGTCAGTCCTGATTATGGAAGTAAGCATTATTTTCTGTACCAGCCTGAAATAGAGTGAAAGAGTACACAATTAAATTAATATTTGCTATTATTTTGCTGTGACTATCTCTGGAAGGCGTGGTTGAACTTAATTTAAAAAAAGATGAGGTAAAAATACCTTTTAATTTTGAAGTTTAGATTTTTAAAAAGATGTGAATATGAGTTGGTAGAAGTTTTTCTGGCCTTCAAAGGAGACATTAGCAAATTTTTTGTAAACAAAATACAGATTTCTAGAATTTATTAATAGTGTAACAAATGTAGTTTGACTGTTAGTTTGATAAATACTTTTGTTATTCTCTGTTAATAGGAGTGCCTTGCAGTAAGAACTCTTGATCCTCTCGTCAACACATCCAGCCTAATAATGAGAAAATGTTTTCCTAAAAATCGTCTTCCTTTACCAACTATTAAAAGTGCTTTCCATTTCCAACTCCCAATTATTCCTGCCAGCGGTCCTGTGGCTCAGCTGTACAGTTTGCCTCCTGGTGGTATGGTAGTTTTGTAATACTTTGTCTTTGAGTATGTCTATTGCTGCTTTGTGTGAAGTGGAATCAATTGCCGTTATTTGTGTTTTCACCTAAAACTTGGACTCTGATGCTCTTCTTAACTAGGAAAGGGTCTGTGACTGTTAGTGTGGAGCACTAGTTTCTAATTGTAGGTTTTAAGTGATGAAAACTTTGTCCACACCTGTGGTTATAAAATAAAAAAGAAAACAGGAACTAAAAGGTGATGTTCATCAAAGTCTGAAGTGTAAAGAATAGGCTGTATACAAACTTAAATGGTCTCTCCTTTTAACTCACTTATATACATTCTGCTGTGTAAAATGTGATGTAGTGTACATCCTGCTTTACAGGAGCATGTATTCCTTTCTTTCTGTTATCCTGATAACTCAGGGTGTGGTGAATTTAGATTAGCATGTGCCACTTGAAGCACTGGCGTTTTTAAATTATTGTGGTTTTTCCTTCATTTGCATGATGAAAAAGTAAAGCTGCTTTCTTGGACTGTTGCAGTCTCTTAGGAAACACTTGTCTGCAAAGCATTTGTATGCTGCTTTGTAGGAAATGGATTCAGCCCATTGTGAGCATCTTTCATTATTTTCAGAGAATTAATGTTTAATGCATATTCGGATATGGTGAAACAGCTTTGGACCTGGGTAGGCAACTAATAAAGTTGCTGTCAAAAAGTTACTCTAAAATGAAGAGGCAAAGTCAGATTTATTAATATCTTCTTATTCACAGTATCTCCTAAAACAAAATGTCATCATGGTCTGAAAGAAGTAAGCTATCCTATTGGAGTTTAAGTGGGTCAGACTCAAACTCCAGGAGTAAGGAGTATATGTTTTGTCTTCACATATAAAATAGATCTAGAAGTGTGTTTCAAAATTCTCAGAAAATAAATCTCCACTTAATACAGTATGTTTGGTACTCTATAATACCTATTTAGAAACTTCCTAGTCTGGTGAAGTGAACTACTGATATGTTTTTTCAAATGGTTTTGTTATCTTCTATAAAAAGAAGAGAAAAACCTAAGGAAATAGAATACATAGGATTTACTTTAAAAGGAAAAACTTCTGTGTTAAAAGACATGTAGAATGTGGAGTGGGTAGAGGTCTGTGTTTTTTAAAAGTGCAATCTTCTGTGGTCAGTATTGTAAAAGCAATACATGTAGTTATTCTGAATACACTAGAAAGTCAGTATAATTTGTAAACTTCTGAGTGAGCCTTTTATTGACAATCAGCAGATTTCCTGCATGGGAAACCCTTTATGAGAAAACAAAATGAAAACATAACAAACAGGACTAGTTAACGAGTTGGTTTTCAAATTTTTTTTCATGTGGTAAGTGAAAAAGAAAATAAACCCAGAACAGAGAAGTTCTTCTTTGAACTTGTATATTGGATTAAATGTATAATCTGCCTTACCAAACTTTTTTGTATTGTAGTGGATGATGTAGTGGATGAAAGTGATGATAACGATGATGCTGAAACAGAATCTGAAATTGAAACTGAAAATGATGATGATAAAGACCAACATTTTAAGGTTGGTAGAGACAAAATTAATCAAAAAAGCTCCTGAAACTTCAAGGAAGCAGGTGCTGCTTGGAAATATCAGCCTTTCTTGTTCAGATGGCTTCAAGATTTTTATCAAAATCTGTTTACTTCACACTTAATGTGCCTGGAGTACAGTGGAACAGAACTGCAAACTCTTTTGGCAGTGTTCTGTTCCCCACTTGTATTTCTCTCAGCCCACTTTTCCTACATAAGCTGCTCAGTATGTAGGAGCTGCTCTGACTTTTTTGATCATTCTGGACTGGGATTGAGTAGATCAGTGTTTCAGCAAGGTAGTAAGTTCAGGCAACTGTAGAGGCACAGATAGATCTTTCACTGTTGTACCACTTTGGGAAGTTATTATCCTGCTCTCCACCTGCCACTTGGAACACGGATGGATATTTGGTCAGAACTGCCTTATTCAGTATTTTTATATTACAGGTATTTAGGAGTTAATTGAATTGTCTGTCCATAGACTGGAAAGACAACTTTTATTCAAGGATCTGATGAGCCCTGATGAAAGGAGTGTCTTCTATGGAAGCAGCATTGCTTTGTCACTGCAATCAGTTGAAGTCTCCACATTCCAAGTTGCAATAGTCAAAATATGCACAGATCTCATGTAAAGTGTAGTCTGATATCTGTATATAATAAATTTGTGTAAAAGGAAGAAAACTGAGATGTTTTAGTATTTCTGTTGAAATAGAAACTTAGGCATACTAATAAAACCGAGCTGCTTAAATCTTCATGATGAAAGCTGCAGTTCAGCTAATTTTCAAATAGGGGTATTCGGCTTTTAAAGCGTGGCTGTGTCAGGCATAAGAAGCGTATGTTTCAGATTAATGTTTTAGAAGTGTATTTATTCTGGATGCAAGATTAATTTGTTCTGATGATCTTTCAGAATGATGATATTGAGACTGATATTAATAAACTGAAACCTAGACAGGAATTGGGAAGACCCATAGAAGAATTGAAAATGTATGAGCAGTTTTTCCCAGAACTTTCAGAAAACTTTCAGGTAAAGTATATGATTCTCAGGACATTTCTTGTTATGTCAGGTTGACTCTGGAATACATTTTGAAGTTCTTTTTTTGATGGATAGTTCCTCTAGCCAAGAAACATGGGTCTGCAGTTCTAGTTCTACATATGAGAGTGATATATACTAAGTAACTTAGTTAAGTGTTATGGTTACTTCAGTCTGACTGAGAAGGGAACTGTGGGCAGATGTAAACAAAACTGTTTTCTGATGTCTAATTATTGGACATTGCAGAAATAAAATAGTAAGAAAGGACATGAGATTTCTGAGAGCTTCATTGTATTAGGTATTTCCTTTATGCTGTGCATCTACTTAAAATCAGTGGTTAAAATATCTGGGTCAATTGCATTGACTTGATACTTTGTTATTGATGAACTACTTGTTTATGGCTTTAAAGCTTTCATCTTGTAAAAGATGAACCTTAATTGCTATGATAGCTTATAACATAATAACTGTTATCTTTTCAATTACATTTCTTTTGGATTATTCAAAAACTTACCTCAGGAACAGGGAAAGAGAAATGTTTCTAATGTAAATGGAACTTAGGAACTGTTGAAATTTTTTTAAATTATTTTTTCACCTTTTTTTTTTAAGGAATGGGACTTAGTTTCCAAGGAACCAAAGCCTTTTGTACCTGATGCAAATCTGAGTGGACCTATTGTTGTTCCTACAGCCAGCGAGGAGCACTCTGCTGAAGCAAGCCAGTCAACGAAAGGGGTTGCTTTGAAGGAAAGCAATCCTTTTTTGAGAGAGGAATATAATAGAAGGCCAGTCTTTCTGGAACTACCAAAGAAAGATGGTATGAAAGACAGTAGTTCACCTCACCAAAATGATCAAAGAAACATGCTTCCATCATGCCAGTGTCTAAGCCAAGAAATTGTAAAAGGCTTAGACAGAATCAGTCTGCAGAACAGTGCAAAAAATGATCAGTATTATGGTCCGGGGTGTGTAGTAAAGAAGGAAAGCATAGCTAGCCTTACCACACTTGCTTGTGGTAAGCCTTGTGAACATGTTTCACCCTGTGGAAGTAGCCTATTTGAAGGATCATCTGTCCAGCTGGGAAAACTCTGCTGCACTGGAGTGGATTCAGAGGAAGAGGAGGATTCCAGATCTAGTTCATCAGGGGAACAAGTCATGCTTGAGGTTTCCGATGTATCATCAGTTCATGACTGTGATCTTTATATTGAAATGGTAAAAAGCACAAAATCTATTCCGGAATATTCAGAAGTGGCCTATCCAGATTATTTTGGCCATATTCCACCCCCATTTAAGGAACCTATTCTGGAAAGGCCATATGGGGTGCAGAGGTGAGTTACCATACTCATTTTTGTTGTTGTTATTGTTCCCTTGAGGAACAGTTTTTAGGATGAGATTAACTAGATAATCTCCAGAGATCCTTTCCAACCCTGACTATTTGTGATTCTGTGGTTACCAGGCCATGTTACACAGTTTACTTTGGCATGTAAAACTGTTTTCAGTGAAAAGCAGTTTGAAGGTAGGTGAATAGGTATTGATCAGTGCAGAGCCATAGAGAAGAACACAATCTGATCTGTAATTGCTAATTCTGTAATTCAGTTTCTAAATACTAAGTTTAATTTATACCTTCTCTTTCTACCTTCCCACCATCTCCCATCTAAATTTTGTGGTTTGCAAAATAACATACCAATCCACAGAAAACCACCACCAAATAAACAAAAAAATCCCCAACTGAATGCTCTTGAGGTCTTAGCAAGGCTAGGACAGTTCGAAGATGCTTCAGCTTTTCTCTCTGCTGTGCTAAAAAGCTATCTTTCAGGAAAATGTAGTGGAAAAAGTTAAAAAATTAATACTCTGAAGTATTTGGTTTTGGTGTTTGTAGTATAACAGAATTTAGAGGTAACAAGTGCTGAGAATGCAGTTTGTGTTAGGTCCTGCAGAATGGCACACAACAAACACAGAAGGAAAAATAGAGCAAACCAACAGAAAACAATACATCAACACACCCATTTATTTCTTCTCTGAGATGATGAGTGGTGAAGACTGATGAGACTCTTAAGATGATTTGCAGAGTTGGTATGAAGGGTTGGTTCATACATAGTAGGTTACTGTAGACAAATGCGCATGTTAGCAGAACATACAATAGTAGCTGTGAGACCTTGCCACCTGCCTAATTATGAGGTTGAATGCCTTTGGCTTTTTATTTGTAACTATAACCAACTTAATGAGATTCTTCATATTTACATTTAGATTTTAAAATGATTAAGAGATTACGTGTGTTTAGGTGGTATAATTAAAATCCTTTAGCTGTTTCATACCTGTTGTAAAACAGTGATCTTGCCAGCGAAATGAACAAGTGCTGAAAACTAATGACATAATGAATATACCGTTCAGTGTTGAAGGAAGAGAATCTTCCCTGTAAGTTCTTCATTAGATAGTCAGTTTAGAAGAGAGATAGTATTTAGTCAGGAATCACCTAAGAACTGCATTGTAAGAAAATCTTGCAAATCCTCAAGTATGTGTTTGTACTAACTAATTATTCTGAAATTTCCTGAATAAAACTGAGTGAAGTCAGATGCAATTTGTCATTCCAGTGCTTGTTCTTAGATATAAAGAACTGTAATAACGAACCTTGTGTGGTTATACATAAAGCTGATTTGTAGAACATAATTTCAGGGTATATTTTAACTTTAAAATATTTTGGGTTTGTTATATTTCGTATGTTGAAAGTAACTTCTTTCAGTCTTGTGTGAAACAAGAATGAAATATCAGATAGTACTGCTAACCTTGAATCAAAAATCCTACATCACATTTTTAAGATACACTGTTTTAAGAATTCAGTTTTCTACAAATGAGTCAAGTCTTGTTACTTCAACATAACAAACTTCTGAGAAGGGAACCTGTTTAAAAAGGGCTTAATCTTTTTAGGAATTCATATTTTTTAGGAAAGTGGTAAAAGTGAGTTTGATAGGAGAATGTAAAAACTTTAAAGCCTTCTACAAAGGTGTGTCCAAGCTCTTTTGACATTCAGTGGGATTTATGTTCTCCTTAATGCAAGCAGTTAGTTACTGCTAATCTGCTAAGTCTTCTTTAGAAAACCAATGGTTGCTTTAATCCATCCATGTAATTTAAGAAAACATTGCTGGGTCTAAGATGTGATTGAGTAGGTTTTCTTCATACTTTTGTTAGAGCAATGTGGTGCAGGGTCTGGGGTTTTTTCTTTAGTCTTGCAGTTTGCCAAGAGATGAAATGTTTTTGAATTAGTGTTTTGGAGTACTTTTTCTTTTAAGTTCAGTAGCATGTAATTATCACCAAATGTCTCACCAGGTTATTATTGTTTGGAAAAATGAAATTGAGAATAACTGAAGTGTTTTATGTTACTCTGTTTTAGAGAAGAAAATTATGATATAGTTCAATACCGTATAAACTTGGGTTTAAATTCCTACTTTTTTTCTTCTATTCCTTAAAAATTTAGTTGTTTTTTTTTCTGTACAACTTTTGTATTTTCTAATCATCAGGATCCACAAAGAACTAGTCTATAAGAACACAGCTCACATCAACAGTGTTGGTTCCAGATTTTTTTTCTTTAATTATCTTGATATAGCTTATCTTGATTTTCTTGGAACCTGAAAATGTCTACTACTCCTTTTCCTTTTAGTGTGCATCTTGAATACTGTTTCTTCTTCCTTTCTTATGCATTGGTCATTGTAATGGTATTTGAATGCCATTATTATTTATATAGTATTTATTAAGTATTTTCATTGATGGAGGTTTACCTTGGCAAAACTCCTGTGATGATAGGAAGTGTTATGACCTTTTAGAGCTGAGGCATGCTGAGGTCTGAAGAGTTCTGTAAGATCAAGTGCAAGATGATAAATTTGTAGTTCTGTCCTGAGCTGAACCTATTCAGATAGATTGTGATGAGTCAACCTCATCACAATTTTGTCAGTACATTGGACTTGTGAATTGTTTTCTTTTCCAGTTAGTTTAAATTTAAAAAGGGGTGCTAGAGTTGTGCACTTACCTTCTCTTTCTCATTTGTTAACAGTATTTATTTTAATTAAATTGCGAATTTCCAGCATGAATACTTTACTGCTCTGTTTTTGTATTCTTCGTTGTTAATCTGCCTCCTTTTCTTCTTATTGCAGGTGCTGTGCAAGCTTTTCCACACAGCTCTGCCACTATATTTCATTCTTGAACTGCAACACATTCTTACTTTTCCAAACCAGGACCTAGATACTGCCAGTTGTGCAATGGTTTTATGATCTGGATAAGCATACACCTGACATTTGGCTGACATCACCAAATTAATTTTTATTTGTTACCTAGTCGCTAAATGAACCTAGATCTCCAGAGGTGAAAAGCTAGTTCACTAACACGCTCACTGTACGACCTACTCTCTAAAACTCCTTAATTTTGCTTATGGTAGGACTCATATAAGTTACTAATGTTATCAAGTGTTGTCCTGGATTAAAGCATTAACATAAGTAACGTTTGAGTTATTCCTGCTTCTATTATAAAGTATGAAACTGCATTTTTTTCCATAAGATAAAACCCAGTGGGTTGTCTGCATGAAAACTCAGTTCCCTCACATATAAATATTGGATTCAGTCAGCTGTGAATGCAGGTGTTTAAACTTAAGTACACATAAGTGAGGGTGAGGCTGAGATCTCTCTGAACTATACCACTATCTTCATGTCAACTTTGTTAGTTTTCATTCCTTTATGAGTTAATTCCTCTTTTGTAATTGAGAACACTATGTGAAAGTTTAAATGAGAACTTTATCTTTTATTTTAGGACAAAAATCTCTCAAGATATTGAAAGGCTGATTTATCAAAATGACATTATAGACAGAGTTGTGTATGACCTTGATAATTTGAGGTAAGTGTTTACCTTTCTGGAAAGAATATTTGACTCATACTCTTAAGTCTATTCTGTGTGTATGGCCAGTCTTTGTGAACAAAGATTTGGGAAAGGTCATTACCCTTCGAGCCTGCGCAATGGATTTTTTAGGTGAGACACGGTGTGCGCTGAACTGAGCCCACCCTTTAATCCTAAGGTTCATCTGCCGGGGCCGAGCGAGCTTGGATGGTGGCAGCGAGGTCCTCAGGACGTAGGTTTGTTTAGAGTGACCTTCTCTTAGATGGATGGCCTCACAGGGCTGACAAGCTCCATCTGCCCGGGGGAGTTCCCTGACTGGGAATCGAACCTGGGCTGCAGCGGTGAGAGCACCGCATCCTAACCACTAGACCACCAGGGGGCCCCAAGTCTATTCTACTTACTCTGTAATATGATTTGCAATATTTAAAGCAGATTTCATTGAAAGTTTTATCTGATGTAACAGTGTTTCTGCTATCCAGGCTGTATTTAGAGGAAGATTCAAAGTAGTTTCTGAACTGCCAAGTGAGGACTGAAAGAAATCAATTTGTTTTAGTTAAGTTTGTTTTATTCATTTTGGACTCATTTTCTACTCATAGTTGTTCCATACCAGAGGAGGCAGATGTTTTGAAGTTTAATTCCAAATTTGAATCTGGAAACCTGCGCAAAGTTATTCAGATCAGAAAGTAAGATATTTCAGCTCTTCTTTTCATACTTTAGGCCTTTTATTTCTGCTTCTTAAAAAAAAAGATTGATTTGTTTTTGTTGATCTTCAGAAATGAATATGATCTAATTCTGAACTCGGATATAAATAGCAATCATTATCATCAGTGGTTTTACTTTGAAGTCAGTGGAATGAAAACTGGCATTGGTTACCGATTTAACATCATCAACTGTGAAAAGTCAAACAGTCAGTTTAACTACGGTAAGATACATTTCCCATACTTTGAGAAGAAATACTTAAAAAATATCTATACTAGACATTTCAGCTGTTTCCTTCCCTTCTCCACAGGATCAGTAGTATTCATGTTGTCAGTTTACATGCTTTATTTTAATACTATTTTAATAGAAGATGTTTTGACAGCTTCAGTTAAAAACTAAAAATGTATCTTAAACCACGAGCTATCAGTTTTTAAAGTGAAGTTTTGTTGTAAGTGAGGCCAAAGTGGAAGAAATTTACTGGTGCAATTAAAAGTGATCTAAGACCATTGGGTGGGGTGGACAGCACCAAAGCCTGTTGATTGACAGAGGTCAGGAAGAATGACATCATAAGTCTATTTCTGCATAGAGGTATATTTTCAGATGTGAAAATAAGCAGAGACATTCTAAAACAGTTTTGCCTTTGAATTGCTGGCCTTCCTAAATGATCCTTGAAGTCTTTAGCAAGTCTGAAGCATGTACCTCATTCAAAAGTGCTGGCTTAGTGAATATGCCTTTCTTCCTCTTCTCTGGGAGTGTGTATGTGGTGTGTGTTGTTCAGCTTAAAACCGTTTGTTTCGTGAAGTTTCTTTTTTTTCTTGCTATATATTCTGAAATCTGTCCTTAAAGAAGGAAGAAGAGAAATTCCTTCTCCCCCCCAAATTCAACTTTTTGTACAGAGTAATATTATATTCTTCTTTGTCATACACATAACGTTCACATTGATCAAGTCACAGAATACCAAGTAGTTTAACCAGTAATAAGATGCTTCTAAATTATTTACTAATCCTCATCAGTTGTCTTAAATCTTCTTTCATGTTACATATACTTACTTGATAGTTACTTTTGGTTTTTTTAAGTACATTGACTAAATCAGTCTATGTGGTTGGCTAATTACTCAACCAGTAAATGATGTTCATTACTATGTGTTATTTTCTGCTTTAACTTCATATTAAGTATTCAAATTAAGTATATTATCCAAAAATACATAATTTAAAGAGTTAACTGTTAAAAAAGTTGTCCTGAAATTTAGTTATTTTTCAGTTATTTATGTGAATGGATAGTAGTATAATTTTTTATATTCTCTTTGAAGCCTTTTTATTGCATGAGTTGGATGGAGTGGGACCCAGGATTTTTTGTAGATTACTGTTTATGCTAACCTCGTCTTTCATTTAAACATTTCATTTTGGTCTTCCATGGATCTGGTTCTTTTCTTTAATTGTTATTTTCTGAAAATCAGGAATCTTTTGTCACCTGGTTGAAAGAGCATACAATACCCAGGCATTCATGAAAATATACTCTATGATAGTGAGTGAATAGGTATAGGTAATTTGTAGACTTGTATGTATGTGTTGATGTGGTCCATTAGTGCTAAGATCTTTCTGTTTAATGTTAAGCATTAAAGTGAGATGCACGTTTTCTTTCAGGTATGCAGCCCCTCATGTATTCTGTTCAAGAAGCACTAAATTCTCAACCATGTTGGACTCGTGTTGGGACAGATATTTGTTACTATAAGTAAGTATGTGAATCAAACATATAGCAGATCTTAACTGAAGTTTAGCAGGAGGTACAATTTATGAGGAGAAACATTTGTTTCTGCATTTGATAATTGCGTTATTCTGTTGTGAACAGTTTTCTTCCCAAGTTACTAAGGAGAATAATAGAAGTGATAGAAATACACAGGGTCTTATTTTGCAAGCACACTGCTAATATTTAAACTCTTCATATTTTATACTTTTCTCAGAAACTGCACACTGTTTCAGAGAAGCTTTTAAGGGACTGTATATATGCATGCTTACTTGAAATCTTCTTACTGACTTTGGCTAATACTGCCCACATGGTCCTTTTGATGAGCCTCCTGTAATCTATGGTGCAATCAGTGTAGAGCAATCCTGGAACACAGGATGACATGGTACAGCATATCCATATGCAATCCTTCTAGGTTGATAGCTGTTTGCTTACTTTTTTTTGTTTGGTTTTGTTTGTTTTATTGCGTTGCTTGTTTTTGTTTGCTCACCTTTTTCCAATGTGGATGAATGTGTGTATCACTGCTGTAAGACAGGATCTTTACAGCTGGTGGGAATCTGTGTATTTAACCTAAATGTATGCAGAATTTCTAAAAATCCTTCTGACATTTAAAATGTGTGCTCAGAAATAATCAATGGTATGAAAAAAATTAATATGTATGCTACCTTTATTTTTGCTTTAGGAATCACTTTTCAAGAAGTTCAATTGCTGCTGGAGGTCAGAAAGGAAAATCCTATTACACAATTACGTTCACAGTGACTTTCCAACATAAAGATGATGTGTGCTACTTTGCTTACCATTATCCATATACATACTCAACTTTAAAGGTAAGAAGATTATGGTATGTTACATAGATAAATATTTATAGTTTTAGAAAGTGTGAAATATAAGCATTCATGAGTGCATTTTTTTGTTTCTTTTAATATAATTTAAAATGCTCCTTAAAATCTGAAAATGTTCATAATGTTAGTGTTTAGACTGCAAAGTGTATAGGTTGTTCTAAAAAACAGTCCTGGAAAAAAAGAATTTGATGCTTGCAGGCTAAATGGGTTTTCTAGGAGTCATAAAAATGATTATGGAACTGGAGCATCTCTTTTATGAGGAAAGGCTGAGGGAACTGGGTCTTTTCAGCCTCAAGAAGAGATGACAGAGAAGACACCTCATCAATATATATTATATCTGTAAGTATCTGAAGGGAGGGTACCAAGAGGATGGAGCCAGGCTCTGCTCGATGGTGCCAAGCAACAGGACAAAGACAACAGGCAGAAACTGACGCCCAGGAAGTTCCTCCTTAACATGAGGAAGAACTTCCCTACTGTGCAGGTGACTGTGCATTGGAACAGGTTGCCCAGAGCAGTTGTAGAATCTCCCTCACTGGGGATATTCAAGAACCGTCTGGACACAATCCTGTGCTATTTGCTCTAGGATGACCCTCTTTGAGGAGGGAGATTGGAGCAGGAGACCCACTGTCGTTCCTTCCAACCTTACCCATTCTGTGATAATTGATTGGAAACAGTGCTAATTGGATGAAGTATTTGAGTCAAATTTGGGTCAAATGACTTGTATCCTGCTGTTCTACATATACTTCTTGATAACTGAAGTTATTATAATTAAGATAATCTCACTCATCTCACAGGCACTCTGTACTTGTGGTTCTGCCCAGATACCGGCATGGACTCTCTGCCCACCTGATACCCATTCCTTGACCTGGGACCCCATACTGGCTTGGTAGTCCACCTTGGAGTTTGCTAGCAAATTGCACATGCACCCCCCCCCTTGCACACCTGCTGTGGGGGAAAATGCTTATGCTTGCCCGCCACCCCTAGCAGCTGGTACCAGGCACATGGGCTTGTAATCCATGTTACTGTTCTAGGTGCTGGCACGGAGAAATCAGCCTTTATTGCACCACCAGTTTGGGAACACACTGTTCCTGTTTCAGTGGTTGAACACCAGCAGCCTTTACCTAGTGCAGTAGCTGGCACTGAGACACTTTCATTGCTGATACCACTGACTGAAGGGTGCCTGCAGTGCCTACAGCTCCATCTGCTGGAATCTGCTTTGATTCCAACAGCAGCTGGGACATGGGACACAGAGTCTCTGGTATCCACAAAGATGCTCCCAAGAGGTGTGTCGTCTCCAACTAATGATGCTGAGACACTTGATCATTCCCAAATCCACCTACACCTGTCTTGTTAGTTGCATTAGTCTACATAGCACTTGCATGCACAGAATAGAGTGAGGCTGCTAATGAGAGAGAGATAGCTAAGGCATACTGCAGGGATCAGGTGCTTGATTTTTGTATGGTACCGCAGCCCCCCTCTTGAATTTCCTGAATCCTCAGGTTCCTCTTGTTTCCTCCTTATTACTCAGGTGACTCCAAATCTTTGTAGATTCCTAATGGCCTGTCAGTGAGAGACTGGTAACTTTGGTCTTTGCTATTGTTTCGGCTGTGTCTCAGCTCTCTGTTGCTGTTTGTTGATTCTTCCTTTACTTGTTATCACTTTTTGCAGTGGAAAGGTCATTTATCAGATAACCTTAATGCAGTAGAGGTTCTTAACCTTCCATATACCCTTACAGTAACATCTGTGTACAATAATGTACCCTCTCTGCCTTCATCCTTCTTGAAGCAGTTTGAAAAACAGAATCTGTAAAGAGAAGTATTCAATCAGTCAGAGATGTAGAGAATGATATTTCATGGTCAGAATTATGATGGAAACTTGTGCATTATTTAGAATAATAAGAAAGATCTGTTAAATAGTACCTTTGAAGTATGCTGTCATGTGATTTGAAGGATTTGAAGTATTTTTTCATTATTTTTTGGATGAAGATGCATCTTCAGAAGCTGGAATCTATGCACAACCCTCAACAGATATATTTTAGACAAGATGTTCTCTGCAAGACCCTGGCTGGCAACAGTTGTCCATTAATCACTATTACAGCCATGCCAGAATCCAGTTACTATGAACATGTCTGTCAGTTCAGTAAGTATGACTTCTCTTTATCATCATCTGAAAATAATGCAAAACTAGGTATTTATAGAAACAAAAATTAGTATTAGCTGCTATGCATTGTAAAAACAGCAATGTAAAATAAGGTTAATAACTTTCTTGAAATTAAGAGGCACCAGTAGTTAGGATTTGCTATCTATTTAGTAATATTTATTTGTAGTAGTCAAATAAAGTTATTTATATTTGGAAATATAAGAGTATATATTAATATATTTAAAATTTTTGTTGCTAGATGGTTTTGTATGTTACATTTTACAGACAACACTTCTTGGAAAAGAGTGCCTGATGAGTAACGTTTTTCTCCAAATTCTGAGGTTTTTTGCTTGTCAAAAAATCTTTCATAAAGCCAATATGTAAGCTACTGTGATGCGAAGTGAGCTTTGGCTGTAATAGCATTCCTGATTTGTTTGTCCACCCCAGTGTTTTTCTTGGCTGTTGGGGAAAAAAGTTGTGAAAGTCCTATCATAACTGCCAGCTCAAACTAGTTGTGACTGTATAATTGTCTGATTTAATTTAAAGCTCCACTGTGATAGTTCTGTAATTAGCAGTCCTTTAAAAAATATTATGGCAAGCTCGATCAATAATACTCATACTCAGTAATACTCAAATCACAAATACTGAGTTTTTTGCATTGTAATGAATGTAGCTGTCTATTGGCTCTTTTTTCAATTTAACAAACTGTTTACTTAGCTTAAATCGTATTTTGCAATTTCTACGCTTACTTCTTTTAGGGAATCGTCCTTATGTTTTCCTGTCTGCGCGTGTACATCCTGGAGAGACTAATGCAAGCTGGGTTATGAAGGGAACACTGGAATACCTTATGAGTAATAGTCCAAATGCCCAATGTTTACGGGAATCTTACATTTTCAAAATTATTCCCATGCTCAATCCAGATGGTGTCATCAATGGAAAGTAAGCATACATTTACTTACAAATATGTAGCCTGCACTACTAATTCTTTACATCATTATTTTAAAAAGAATAATCTAAAGTAATCCTGGAAAGATACAAATGCAATACTTAATGAGATAAAATCCAACCAACAGTTGCAATATTGCTAGGACTTTTTCATTTTTTTCTTTTTAAAATGTGGTTGCATTGTGTCACAATTTTCAGTTTTATAAAAAATATTTTTAGTTTTCCATGGATAATAATCATTGCTATGTGATTTGACATGACATTTTAATTGTCTCTCTGAACAGCAGTCTTGGATATGTGTAACAGTGTTATATGAGACTACACCTGACATTTAGGAAAAGTAAACAACTTCCTAGTCCTAATGAAAAAAAAAGCCTCATATTTGAGAAAGTTTTTTATGTAAATATGTCTTTTGGCTGTTGTCATATGTTGTTAAAAGTGGAAAGTTAATAGGTGTGCAAGAGAAAGGGTAAGAGAGTATCCTGGTTTGATTAAAGTTATTCATAGTAATTATTTCACTTACTGCTACTTTTCTTAATAGATTTAAGGGATATTTCAGAACCTTTTGAAACTGCTGTGAGTAAGCATTCAGCAGTCTCCATTTACTTGGTTACTAGAATTCAAATGAAATGGAAATTTTGCTATGATGAATCTACATTTTCTTCTCATCTAGTTATGGGTAATATTTTAAAAAGTTTTGTGAACAAAATAATAAAAATAAAACCAATTATGGATTTCAGTAGAACTCTGTCTTTAAATGTAAGAGCATGTATATACTGAAACACTTCTAATGAAATAATTCGGGATACAGGGACAATTAAGAAATATGTCCAAGCAGACACAATCTAAAGGCAAATGTAATGAAGATGACTACACGGTCTTGAATTTCTGCAAGTTTAAAAGTTCTTGCTGATAGCTGACTGAATGCAGAGATGATCTTTATTTGTTTGCTGGGTTTTTGTTTGTTTTTTTTCTTTCTTCTTTTTCTCACAGCTCCTTGTCTCCTAACAGTTTCCTGTTTCAAGTATTAGATTTCTAGTTGACATTAGTCTTTAAATTACAGAAGTCAAGACACCAAAAATGTAAAGATACCTTAAATTTTTAATTACTAATTTTAAACTAACATTTGAATAGAATTTCAAGCCGTCAGTTTCAACAGCAAATAAACAATATTACAAGTGACTTCACATATGAAGCTACTTCTAATTTATTTTTAGTTTCTCTGTAACATAACTTAAAATACCCCAAACAATTCTATTACATGGCATGTTAGAAAATTGAAGTTTGTTTCTTGCCAGACTCCTTCCAAAGAAGCAGTGGTGATGAGGAAATCTTGAGGTGGGGGGGAGGCTTATTTAAAAGTATGATAATACAGACTACATCATGCGTTTTTCCACCCCCCCCGCAATAGCCACCGTTGCTCTTTAAGTGGAGAAGATTTAAACAGACAGTGGCAAAATCCAAATCCAGATCTGCATCCCACTATTTACCATGCTAAAGGGTTACTGCAATATCTGGCTGCTATAAAACGTTTACCTTTGGTAAGTATGTGTGTGTAAGCAATTCTGAATTTTTTTAACTTTATCTATGTAGCTAGTCTATGAATGAAACATTTTAATGTGGTCTTGTAAACAGTGTCACACTTAAATTTAACTTGGAGAACTGGTCTTCTGCAAACCTGTAGATGTAAATCTGTTACATTGGCTAGGATAGAAGGTTAAACCTTCCTTAGACGAATCCCATGTTTTTGTCATAATACACAAGTTAATTATATAAGGAATTGTGTTGCTTAATTCTTTTGAACTTTCAACAATAATACAAATAATAAAAAAAATTTGCCTTATGTTACTTCCATAAAATGTTAACTCCGTATGCCTTGGTTTTATTTTGCCAAATGATTTATTGTAGGTCTACTGTGATTATCATGGTCATTCTCGTAAAAAGAATGTATTTATGTATGGCTGCAGCATCAAAGAGACAATGTGGCATACGAGTGTTAATGCTGCCTCTTGTGACCTGATGGAAGACCCTGGTTACAGGGTAAGTTTGACATTTCTACCTCTTTCATTGGGCATGGATTTGGAATATACTTTTAAAATAACTTCCTGACAATATTCTGTGCAAGTAATGACTCTATAACATAAGCAGACTTATTTAAAATGATCTCTTTTTAGTTCATGAGCGTACTTTTAAGTATTTTGAGAGCTTTAAATATTTACATAGAGTGCTTAATTTTTTTTGTTGTTTCGTTTTACCAATAAGTGCTTTTTTTGTGTGTGTTTAATATTACTGTTAGAGACAGTAGGTGGAAAATATACTTCTGTGCATTCCTAATTACTAGATGAGCGTATAGTCATTTAAGCATGGCAAACAATATTCTAGAACAAGAAAAGATACAGGATTGTTCTGAGAAATACTCATTTTTGTGTGTGGAAATAGGGAAGATTCCTCTTATACAGATTTGTAAGTAAGACATGTGCCCCTAATTACATATACATAATCAACTTCCACAAAAACAGCCACTGCATTGTATAAACTTTCAAAAATGTCAAAAATTTAGAGGATTGCATGTTACCTGTTTCTTCTGTGAATCTCCACTGCCACCTCGTGGCAACTGCAAACCCGTGCAACCTAAATGCATCCAGGCCCCCCCTGTTTTTTTTGAGGAAATGCAGAGTTAAGCTCGACAAACATGTGAATGCATGATAAAATGCTTGTTATACATCCATGAGTGTAAACCAGTAGAGGTGCTTTCTGTAATCCCTCATTTACAAAAACCAAAATCTATCACTTCTTGATTTTCTTGTGTGATTTCCTGGATGCTGAATCGGATGCCATTCACGTCCTGCTGCTGTAACACATTTATATGAGGTTTTGTCACTTCAGCCTGCACTACTATACTGTACAGAAGACAACAGTCAATAAGAGTTGTGGGGAAAAAACCTTTTGATTTCAAAAAGGTGGACTGAAATGTTTGGCCAAGGTTATACTACTAATGGTGTATGTACTACTAAAATAATAAATTTGAAGCAGTCATGTTTTGTTTTAACTGACACAAGTAAAAGCTGGAAAGAATACTCATTTAGCATTAGTCAGACACACATATTTGTGTAACTATTCCTTGAAGCTGTCATGTAAACAGTTATACTAAATTTTGATTCACATTTTTGAAGTTAAATATGCACTTAGTGCTTTGCTGTATACAAATTAATTTTATGTATTAATAAAGTACTGGTTTTGTCAGGTCTGTAAATGGGATTGTTGAAACAGTCTGAAACTAAATTAAATAACTTTATGCAAAGAGTGGTACACTTAATTGAAGCAAGCTTAGCTTGGTGAATTAGGGAGAAGATGATGATCAGCTGAAGAATTCTCTTGTATCCTGATTCTTACCCACATAACCAACAATTTGAGTGACTGAATCTGAAAAAAAGGATTTTATTAAGTAGGAAAAGGCAAACCTGAAGACACTGTTTTTAAAACTTAAGATGGAGATTTGTTTTCTTGTTACTTTAATTCAAACTGCAGTAAAATGTTCTCGTAACGGTTTGTGATTACGTGGCTCCTTATCATCTCCTTCTGTAAAGGAAATAATTTCAAATTGCTGTCCTGCAGGCACTCCCCAAGATCCTGAGTCAGATTGCCCCAGCATTCTGCATGGGCAGCTGCAGCTTTGTAGTGGAAAAGTCCAAGGAATCTACAGCACGGGTTGTTGTCTGGAGAGAGATAGGAGTACAAAGGAGCTACACAATGGAAAGCACGTTATGTGGATGTGACCAGGGCAAATATAAGGTAAGAAGATATCTCAGTTAAACTTTTCTTTCTTTTTAATTTCTCCCATTTGCATCAGTATCTTATTCTATAACCCCATTTGCTTGCTTGCTTGCTTTAACTTCTAAAACCTTCTAAAACCTTCTGAGGTCTGGTTACACTAATGGCAGGATGAAATTACATAGCTTGCAATATTGTAAGTTGCATAACAGTTATGCTTATGGGCTGTTTTAACAAGATTAATATTAATCATTGCTTGTAACACATATGTATGCATGTAGTTAAAAAACCCCAGAACTGTTCTGTCCAATAGATTATTAAAATTGGGTAATAATCAATGCCAATACTATAATAAAAATTTCCTTAATACATGGCAATTTCAGACTTCACCATGGCAGTTCATGATTCTTCAGCAGGTATTTAGTAGTGTCCCTCACAGAATTTCCTGTGTAGCTGAAGAAACAGGCTTATAAATCAAAACACTTTCATATCAGGTTACCAGCATTATAAATTACACATCATCTCTGAACTAATTATAGTTGTTTGACTTCTTGACTTAAAATTTGTTTTCATTTTCTCTTCTTGAAAAGTATTAACAGGGCTGGGTATTTGAAAACAAAATGTGACCTTGTTTTTAGTGTGTCAATAGTAGACAACATTCATGGAAGAAGTTGGTTTCCTCTGCCTGAAAATAGAGCTTAGGAATGCTAATCAAGAAAATGATCACAAGCCTCAAATAAGGTGCTTGACAGAAAGAGGATCGGAAGGCTGGGATCAAGGATAGGGTGGGACAAAAAAAAGTTGGAACAAGGTATATTTAGTATATTAATGTACGTTCCAACATCCATGCTTGTCTCCCTAGACAGCAGGAAGACAGACATTTTGGCAGGAATTTTGGTAGGTCTGTAAGTACTAAATTTTGTCAATTAATACAGAAACATTCCTGCTATTGTCAGAATATTCCATTATTCCTCAGATGACATCATTATGGAGCTTTAAAGAAAGATAACTGTTCCAACTTGCTTATTTTGAAATTTCCAGAATATTTTTAAACATGAATCTTCATGCAGTGTTGCTACAGAAAGTACTTAAGAAAAGTGAGGAGCTTTGTGGACAAACTTTCAAGATGCTTAAACCTCCAAAGCCCTTCTTCTGCAATGAAGGAAAAAAATGGCTGGATTCTGTGGAAGAATCATTTACTGAAAAGGAAAGAGCATTCCTCTGTGTAATATAAAGTAGCTGATGAGATAAAATTGCTGTTCTGCCATTCATTTTATTTGGCATAAAACAATTTGTGAGGTCTTAGTCATCCTCTGAACGTACAGGAAGATTCTTAATTATTTCTTCACTAGGATAATGCTCAGACTTACTAAGAAAATATATCTAAAAAGCCAAGGTGACTGGACTGAACAGGAAAAGAACAGCATTTCCCCAATGAGAAGCTGAAAGAGATAAAAAGGCTCAGGCTTGGGGTTTTTTTTTTGGGTTTTGTTGTTTGGGTTTTTTTGTGGAGGGAATGGGGCCAGCAACTCTGTCAATAAACCTGGGGGTATAAATTAAATTATATATGTCATAATATGTTATTTCAAAATAGAAATTGAACTGTAGAAATTCCCTTCCCTCCTACTTCCCATCCCAAAGAGCATGAGAGTTCAGACTCTCAGATACACAGACTGGACTGTGTAAAGGTCTGAAGCACTTTTCCAGTCTTATTCTGGTTTGGCGTCATTGCTGATTTTCGTTCAAAATACAAAGAGGATTACTGAACAATTTAGTTCTCTGTGGAAAAAATACTGAGTCTTTGCCAAAGCTGGGTAATATCTGAACGTCAGTTTTTCTTTTTATTCGTTTTACTTGGACAATGGTGATGCTAGACTATTTCCAGCCAGGAAGCTGTGGAATTGAAGTTAGCAATTCTTACCTGAATTTAGGATCTCTAATAACAGAGTATCTCTGGAAGCAATCTTTTTTCAACTGATTACATGGAGTCTTTGTAGTGTGTTGAGAATTAGTGCTGCAAATATTGCTCAGTTGTCTGCAATTCAAGATGTTGAAAAACAAACTTTGAGGGGAAAAGATTCTCCAGGATCTACTATGGAGCATAATTAATATGGCAGACAAAAGAACAATGTTTTTGATAATTTAAGCCACCTGAAAACTGAAATCAGTCCCTTTCCTGATTAGAAATTACTAAGTTTAGGAGTATTGATCCGTTTTGAAGTTAATGGAAAAGATTTTGTTATGTGGAAATTTTATGATGTACATGAAGAGAAGACTTCAGGAAGTAAGGATTCAGTCAACAAACTTCTCAGTTACGATGATTCTTCTGTCTTTAGATTTTGAGTTCTCAAGAATGATTATGTCTTTGTAGCCTCTGCTGAACACAGAAGATCAGCATGATGTTTTGCTGTCCAACTGACTTCTCCAAATCTTAATTTGGTTAAGTACATATTACAGGAACATTTTTCTCAACTTGAGGTCACAGTCTCTTGTGCCTTTGCTTTGTCTCTTTGCTTTCAGGTAGCAAAGTTAATCACTGAAACGCTCTATTCATATGAAGGTATCTTCATTACACGGTTAGTAAGAAAGACTTCAACCTTCCATCTAAAATGTTACTGTCTAGAAGAAAGACAGTATAAAACGTAAAGGAAAAGGAATGACATTTAGCACGTTTAAAAAAAAAAAGCAGCTACTTCCAGGTGGCTTGTGCTTAAAAGCAACATCTTTAATAGGCTACAGTTAAAAGTGCTAGAGCAACAGTTGAGGATAATTACAAGATCAAGAAAAGGAGTGTAATTATGGCTTCAGTGAAACTGAACTTCACCTCAGGTCCCTTAGTGATGGCAACTGATGATGATGATTATTATTGTTATTTCCTGAAACACACTTTGAGTGTCTTGTTTCATGGAAATTATGAGGTTTGGCTGCTGGAAAAATAACAGTGGATTAAGAAATTCAGTATTTGGCAGTTGTGTGGTATTGCATTCCCCTTATCATTTAAAGAAATGAGAGAAGTAAATCTAGACTTTACCACGGGCTTTTACCACAATTATGTAGACCCTTCAGGGTAGTAAGTTCGAAGTTTATTCTCCCAGTGTTCCACAGTTATCCACCTCCAACCTGATCCATTTAGTTTTCTCTTAGTTGTATCCTATTTCTGCTCTGCTGAAAATAGCAGCCATGGAACATGTGCACGCTATTTATCTTTCTAACAATTGTCTTTGCACTTTCCGTCATACTTTACTCTTACTCCGTTTTCAACTTAGAGAGCCTCCTGTTATACATATCCTATCTATAAGGAACCTACCAACTAATGATAAGTTCTTCAGCAACAAATGTAGACACTGATTGGAAAAGTTTCTGAACCATCAAGTTGTGCACATTAGTAATCTTTGTAACAGTGAGATAGATTACTGTTACACTTCTCCTTCCTCTTCTGCATACTTGTTGCCTCTTGTCCTTAATGTTATTTTAATCTCTTTAGGGCAGGGACTGTGTCTTCCTGTGATTAGCATAGTGGAGCCCCAGCTATGTTTGGGGCCTTTGAAAGTTAATGATGTGCAAACAAATATAAAACAAAAACAAAAAATTGGCCTCTGTGGATAAGGTACTACACTGAGTGAGGAGAACTGATTTCTGTTCCCAGCGGGGTCAGTGACATGCTGTGAGACACTGTGCAAATCGCTTCAACCCTCTCTGCCTCCATTTCTCCATCAGTAAAGTGAGGATAATTCTTCCTTTATTAATAAGTGCTTTGAAACCTACAGCACAAAAGCATTATAAAAGAGGTAAGTAGCATTACTATTAAGAATAATACTCAAATATCCAACTCTTCTTCACTGCTAACAGGTTTCAGTACCATTTGGGTGGAGGATGGCACTGTTTAGAATGGTGGATATAGCTTTATCTTTCTTGTTGCTGTAAAGCACCTTGTTTATGAAGACTACTAAGGGAAGAAAAGAACTCACAAGAAAATCAAACTTTCCATCTATTAATTGTGTGTATGTTCAAAACAGTACATGAACAATGTGTGGGATGAACCATTTCTGGAGCAACATACTTTCTTTTAAACCTCGCATTTTAAAACACGTTGTCAGTGTGGCAACACATACAAAGCTTATGTGTGGTTTTTTTTTTTTAGCTTTTGGTAAAAAGTTTTCTACTCCATTCTTTTTGCTTCATGTATTTTTCCTACTTGATGACTTAGCTTACTACCAATTCCTGGCTCCTCTGCTTCCCTGTTTGTTTTGTCAAAGCTTCTTCTTAACTAATCTCTACATTAAGAGGTTTAGAAGATCCAAACTAAAACCCTTTTAAATTCTTCAGAGATACAGAAGTTGCAAAGGGGGAGATGGAGCTGGGTTGTGCCATTGAATTTGCTAGTGTATATACGGTTACAACTAGCCAATTCCATAACAGTTGAGGGTCACTCTAGACTATGCTCTTTTCATAAAGTAGTTGAGGTCAGATGTTATGTCTCTGTATACTGCACTCCTGACTAAATTAAAAGTGTAGTATTATCTGATGGGAGGCTTTATCACATATGTGAACTTGGAGAGCATTACAAAAATTCTACCTCCTAAATAGTCTTTGCAGAGGAAAATGCCTGGGTATATCATTCAAGTTAGAAAACAGCTATGGCCTTTGCTAATTTGTTTGTTAGTTTTAATTACTAAATGTGTGAATAAATGCTTTCAGAATTAACACATAGCCTCTAACTTATAGGGGAGAAGAGATATCTGTGTCAAGGAGTAACTTTGATGTCTTAAATGGTCATATCTATGTGTCAGAACATAACAATGAACTTAATCACAGCTACAATATGAATTTTGTCTTTCTTCCTTCTTATTAATGGAACTTACATTGAAGAATCTTGTATTTGAAATTAATTTTTATAAATTTTGTCTCTATTTTTAAAAATTATTTATGCTTGTAAATTTGGACATGATCTCTGTCTCTCTTCAAATGCTACTGGGTAAAGAACTGTTAATACTGATGTGCTAGAAGTAGACTAGAAAGCTCCAAAAAACATGGGTGTCTCTGTTCAGACTTAGAGGAATTATCTAGTTATTTCTGAATCTCTTCTGTTATTCTTGTTAAGACTTTACTCTACAGTTCTTATTTGTTCTGTCTTTAAACCAGGAGACTGTATTGAATAAAATAACAAAATGTTGATGTAGAATAATTCTGCAGCATGTGTGGTTCCATCTGCGTGTACTATTTTGTATTTTTTAAATCTCATTTTCAAATTAGGGATTGCAGATAGGGACAAGAGAACTGGAAGAGATGGGAGCAAAGTTCTGTGTTGGCTTACTGCGTTTAAAAAGAATGGCCTCATCCTTGGAATACAATTTGCCTTCTAGTCTGTTGGATATTGAAAATGAGCTGATTGAGTCAAGCTGTAAAGTGACAAGGTAGTACACATTTATTATATTTTCTTTCTTTGAGGGGAGGGGGGAAAATTGCAGTTTCTCAAGTGACGTAAAGATTCTTTCAAAAATGTTCTTCCACTCATCAAAAATAATGTTGATGTGTTGTAACCTCTTACTGTAACAATAATCTGAATATATTGGAGACCTATTGTGTCAATTGCTTCAAACTTTGAAAGAAAACAGTACAGGCTGGGTCACATTTGTTGCTAGGATAAACACTGCCAATTTTAATGTCATTGCGGGGTTATTATAGGCCATAAAACTCAGTAGTAGGTCTTAAGTCTCAATTGTCTCTTTGAAAGTTTGGGGTTTTTTTGTTTGTTTGGTTTGGTTTGGGTTAGTATTAAAAATGTGTTTAAATGGACTTTAAGTATGTGAGTTAGAGCACTAAGAACTGTAAGTTTTTATTCCAAACTTTTTTTTTATGTATCTCCTCTGGTGGAGATATATAACAAGACTTAGAGAATTTAAAACATGAGAAATAAAGTCTGGGTCACAAAAGAAATTTATATGCTCAGTAACTAGGTTATTAAGTTGCCAGTTCTTAAAGCTGTTGATGGGCTTGCAAATGTATGCATATTATTGCATGTTTCCATTCATGTAATTCATCACTCAAGTATACACATGTATGTAGTAACTAGGGAAGCACAATGAAGTGTGAGTTCAAATGTGCAAGCATCTCTTTATGAAAATAAGGTTAAAGAACCAATAAAGCAAAGTTCCAGACTTCAAAAAAGCATTACGTTGGGAAAGAGTAAGGTTTACACACTATAATGCTTCCACTTGGCATACTAAGAGATGAAATAATTGAATTGGCTGCAGCTCCAACTTAATTAAGAAAATAGAGTGGAAATTTGGGAAAAAAATGAAATTTATTACTGTTTTTGTGCGGCTGACACAAGCAAGTGCTTGAAACTAAGACTTGCTTTGGAAGTAAGATTAATGAGCAATTTGTCTGTAGATGGTGAAAAATTAGCAGAGCTATGGGAGGCCATCTGTGGCACCCTATCGAAGGGGGAGATTGTGTTTATTTCCAGTATTTAAACACTGAAGTGTTATACTGGAATGTTGAGTACTAACAATAACTGGACCTTGTGTTCATGCTTAGCATTTACAGTTAATAATGAAAAGTGAAGGTGATAAGAACAATAGGAGTAACAGTAGAAGAGTGTCTTAAGGAGGTGAATAAAAGTGTATGAAGATTAGCTGTGATGTGTAGGTATCTCTCACTCCAGTGGTGGTTGGATCCCCCAATGTCATTTGCTCATTTGTACAACATCGGGATGCTTGTAATGGCTGGATTTTTACTGTCAGAAAAAGTTTGTGCATGGATTAAGGTGAGTTAGTGATTCCTGAAAGAGACAGGATCAGAAGGCAGTTTGGGACTAACCAAAGAGGGGCTTTTATAAGTATGTAAGTAGTGAAAGGAACACTAAAGAAAATATGAGATCACAGATGAATGGGGCGGGAGCCCTGATGACACAGGACACGAAAAAGGCCAAGTACTTCATCACAGTCTTTACTAGAAAGACTAGAAAGTTCAGCTTTCAGTACCCTTAAGGACCCGGAGACTGGGGAAGTCTGGAGCAAGAAAGGCATACCCATGGTGGGAGAAGCAGGTTGGAGAATACTTAGGCAAACTAGTCTTATGTAAGTCCAGAGGTCCTGCTGCACCCGTAAGTACTAAGGGAGCTCACTGATGTTGGGTGATGTTGATGTGAAGCCATTTTTAAATGATTGTGATGACTGGGCCAGGTGCCTAAAGACTGGAGGAAAGAAAATGTCATACCTATGAACAAGGAGGAGGATGCAGGAAACTACAAGCTGGTCAGTCTCACCTTGATCCCTGGTAAGGTAATGAAAGAACTAATTCTGGAAAGTATTTCCAACCACATGAAGAGGAGGTGATCATGAATAATCAACATGGATTCACTAAAGGAAGTCATACTTGACCAACCTAATAACCTTCTACAATAAAATGACTGGCTTGTTAGACACAGGGGATAAAGTGGATATTGTCAGCCCTGATTACAGTAAGTTTTTTGACACTCTCTGCCATGGAATCCTTATAGAGAAGTTGATGAAGTATGGGCTGGATGGGCAAACAGTGAGATGCATTGAAAAACTGACTTAATGACTGAGCCCAGAGGACAGTGATCAGTAGCACAAAGTCTAGCTGGAGGCCAGTAACTAGCTTTGTACCCAGGGGCACTATACTGGCTACTGCCCTGTTCAACATCTGCATTAATGACCTGGACACTGGGGTGGAATATTCCATCCGAAGTATCCAGATGACACCAAAGTAGAAGTGGCTAATCCAGTGGAATCTTCACAGGCTGTAAAAGTGGGCTGACAGAAATTTCATGAAGTTCAACACTGAGTGTGAAGTCCTGCACATAAGGAGGAACAAACCCAGGCAGTAGTACATTATGGGGGCTGACCAGCTGGAAAGCAGCTTTGCAGAAAAGGCAGTGGGGATCACAGTGGAGACCACGACCATAGTTGAACATGAGGCAGCAATATGCCCTGGCTTCAAAGAAGGCTAATGATATCCTGGGCTGCATTAGGAGGAGTTTAACATGGTGATTCAAGGAATGTGATCCTTCCCCTCTCCTCAGCACTGACAAGGCCTGCACAGCTGGACTACGGTGTCCAGCTCTGGATTCCTCAGTACAGGAGTGTCTTGGAGAGAGTCCAGTGAGGGCCCCCTAAGTTGGTGAAGGGACTGATGTACCTTCCATAGGAGGAAAGGCTGGGAGAGCAGGGACTGTTAGTCTGGAGTAGAGAAGGCTCAGGAGGCATATTATCTATGTGTACAGTTACTTAAAGGGAGGTTGTAAAGAAGGTAGAGCCAGGTGCTTTCCAGTGATGTCTGATGACAGGCTAAGAGGCAATGAGCACAAACTACAGAGGAAATTCCATTTAACCATTATGTACATATAATGGTGTGTCCTAGTTTTGACCAGGACAGGGTTAATTTTTTACAATAGCTGGAAGGGGGCATGGCCAGATCCCACTGTTATTCAGTACTATCTCTTGTGATTTGCCAGAGTCAGGAGTACGGGACTCTCTTTTCCAGCTGGGAGGAGAGAAGGCATGACAGGGGGTTTGGTGGTGTTTCACTTTCCATGTAAATTGTTTCTTTGTCTTGTACCTTTTGTTAATAACGTTATTGCTGCTATTGTTCCTTTCATATCACATTGCTGTTTCCAGTAAATTGTTCTTATCTCAACCTGAGCAGGAGGGAGTGGGGAGCAAGCAAGTGGCATCTGGTTTGGGAGAGTCTTGCTGGGGGGCACTGAACTGGGGAGTAGTGTTCCTAAACCATGAAAAATGGTTATCTATACTTTTATTGTGAGGATGCTGAAATAGTGGAACAAGCTTCCCATTGAGAATATAGAGTCCTTATCACTAGGGATGCTCAAAAGCTGTCTGGATGTCATCCTTGGCAACCTGCTATAGGTGGCCCTCCTTGTGCAGGGGTGTTGGACTAGATGATCTCCAGAGGTCTCATCCAACTTCAGCCATTCTGTGAAAAGGGGGAACCAGTTTTAAGTCTATTCTCAAAAGGCACTTAATGCTGGTATTGTGAGCACTTCAAATTTGAGTGCTAATTTAAGTAATTGGAATACAAGGTTCTAAAAATCACAGTCTACTTGCACTTGTCTCCCTCAGAACTTATGCAGTCAAGCTCCTGTTCCCTTTGCATGTTTTCCCCCCAGTTCCAAATGGAAAAGATTAAAGTAAACGTAATACTAATATTGTATTAAGAATTATAGTTGTTGTGCTGACAGGTTTGTTAGGGTCTGTATGCAATGAAACAAAAACACGTGACTGCAGTCATAACTGTTAGGACTTACTAGACTTATCCTTTGCTCAAAAAGTTGACCTTTTTTGGAAATGCTGGCCGTTTCAGTGATTCTTTTGAGGCTCATTGATGTGTTCTAGAACATGGTGTGGTTTTGTTTGTTAATTTGATTTAATTATAGCAGCGAAGCAGTCTGAGCTTTGGGACTCAGCATGTCTAGAAAATGGTAGAAAAAGCAGACAGCCAAAAGGAGCTGTGGGAAAGGAAAAACTTGATGAAAAATCCATTTCCTGCCCGTAGTCGTACACTTAAGAAAGCACAACAGACTGGTGAGGCAAGGAGTGAGAGTGCGTCCAAGGTCTTGCAAAGCGTTTCTCTCTAGGCTGTCAGAAGGAAACTGGATTTGTCCGATTTTATTTTGCTCCCCCTTAATAACTCCTAAACTTTGCCCAGACATTTGCATACATCTAATCTCCTTCATCTAGGAGTAAAAGTTTTTTCCTTCTTACTCTGCTGCAAGGTTTGAGCTTTTCTTGGCCTTTCTTCCAGTACCGTAGGAGTACCACGATGTAAAAAACATGGCATCTTATGCTGCAGCTTTTGTGCTGTGTATCCCTTTCAAAATGCTAGGAAAAAAAGCTATTAAAAATTAGACCCAGAATTCATTCCACTGGTGGGTCTGGTAGCAGTGCCCATGCACCAGGCCCCTTCTCTGGCCTAAATGAATGTGATTGCTTTTAGTTCTGTGTAGACTGTGGCGTCAGAGTACTGTTTGTCTTCTATAGGGCAAAATAAAGAAACTAGTAACCTAGGAAAAAACCAAACAAACAAATAAAAAAAAGTAAGTATGATGAACAGGTTGTATATTCTTCATACCATTCTTTAAGCTTTTCTTTTACTCCTGGTGGTATGATCCAGATATTACTGTAGGCTACGTTCAGTGATTGATGAATCCCAACTAATTTGATTCAGTATTGAGTATCACAAAATGTATTTCAGAGTGACAGCACAAAGAAAGTGTGGAGTAAAATTTTGTAACTAAAAGTGAAGATACTTAAAAATACAACGTAAATGGGATTTGGATATCTAGTTTCTTAGGGCTTAGAAAAGAGTTGCATATGTTCTCCTCTTTAGCCTTGGAAATTCCCTTGAGAATATATCCTTACTACTTATG